TTCCTGTATCTGAACATGTCCCAAACTGGACTCAGCATCTCCCTCAGGCCTGGTCCTCCTCCAGGCCTCCCTGCCCTGGTGAAGAACATCAGTACCCACCCTGCTGCTGGGGCCGAAAAGTTGGAAGTTCCCTTGCACCTCCTACAGCCTCTCACCACGAATCAACCACCAAGGCCAGAAGTTCCTACCACCTAAATCACAAAGTCTCTTCGAGTCCTCTCTGCCTCCTTAGTGTAAATGCCCCACAGCTCTCAATGGACCCCTACAAGAGTCTCCTCATTAGTTCCCCTGAATATAGTCTTTCCTTATTCTAAACCATGCTCCTCACTGCAGCCAAAACAACTTTTTAAAAATGATACTTTCTCATTTAACTTACTTGCTGATAGGCCTTCAATGGCTCTCTAAAAAATAATAATACTTATTATTATCATTATTATTGTGGTTGTGTTGCTATAGCTAACATGGAAAATTTTATTATGTCCCAGGACCTGTTCTAAGGACTATATGCCTATTAACTCATTTAATCCTCACAATTCTAAATATCCCCATTATACATGTTGTGGAGCGGAGGTGAATAAATGACCCCTGGAACCCAGACCAAATTAAAATTTGAGGAGCCTTTATTAGCTGGCCGGCCAGCTGGCCAGCCATCCAGGTGACTGCTCTGCCATTCTCCATGCAGGGAGTCCGGAGAGCAGCAGTGACCCTTTGTGTAGGACAGCTTTTAAGCCCACTTACCACATCCTGTTTTTGCAGAACAAGTAACCCAAGACAAAACCGTTTTTCCCAAGCAACGTCAGAGTCATGCCATTGATGTTATTCACAGGGTCATCCTGTTCTTCAGAAAGCTGACAGTGATCTATGAAAGAAGGTCTACCTGCTGGGAAGGGGCCATGAGACCGTATGTCAAGGCCTGGCCTGGTGTCAGCACTGACAGCTCTATCTGGGGCATAGTCCACGGCCTCAGTAGTGCTCAAACATTCCTTCTCTCTAACATACAGAAGAGGAAACTGAGACTCGGAAAAGGAACTTCAGGGCTGTTGCAAAAACCCTTACCCCACCCTTAACTCTTTGATCTGATGGAATGTTATTCACACTTCAGGTGGGATACTTTGGGGAGCATTCTGGGACCTCCCTTACTAGGTCAGGCCCTCCAGTTTGTAATTACATGTTATTTTGGGAGAGGGTCATTTGATTAATATCTGCCACTCCAACAGGCTTTAAAGTCTACGCTTTGCTCATCAGTACTCAACATGAAACAAGAGCTTGCTCAGTATTTGTCCAATGAAAAGGGTTTTTAACAGGAGAGGAATTGTGGTCAAATTTGCTGGAGGATGATTTCTTTTGTATGAAAGTCTGGAGGAAGTGAGACAAAGTCAGTCAGCAACGGGATTCAGGAGTGAAAGGAAGGAGGTCTGGGTAGGCGAGTGGCCATGGGGATGGAGAGCAGTAAATGAACCTGGGGAATATTTAGGAGGTAGACTGGGCAGACCCTGATAATTAACAGGATAGCGGTGAGGGGAGGGAGGAGTCAAAGGTGACTGGCTTAGAGGAACATCTGGAAAGCAAGAGGCAGGTTGGCTTGGCAGCACAGTTGGTCCCTAGACCTACTGAACTGAAACATGGAAAAGTCCTCAGAATCTTTATGCTCAAACTCCTTCGTGTTCAAATTCTCACTTGATCCTTGTGTACTTGGCCAGCTCATCTCCAGCTGACTCCGGCCATAGGGCACGTAGGTAAGTAGACCACTGCTCCTTCCCAATGTCCCTCTTCCTCCTCCCAGGCTTGTGAGTGCTGCCCACTCCTTCATCCCTCCCTCAAACCCCACAAGACTCAGCTTCAGGGACACCCTTCGGATTCGCCCCACTGCCCCTACCCCTTCCTGGGGTTAACATGTCCTGTGCTGCCTCCATGGTTCACTCTATCAGAACTCTTTCTCTCTATCCCTGTACCCCAACGGCAGTTTCTCTGGCTTCTGGGACAAGGCCTGGATCAAGATTAACCTCAAAAACTTTTCTTGAATTCCTCCAAGGACTTGGCTTTCTTACATTAAGAGTGGGGCCAGGTGTCAGACATTGAATCCTGAGGCCACCGCTATTTTCAAATTTGGTTTTCTCATCTGTCAAATGGACATGAGAATACAGTGGACCCGCCTAGAAGAGTTGCTTTGAGAATCAAATGAAATACACTCTGTTACGCAGTTTAGCACAAAGCCTGAAACATTGTTCACTCCCTCAAATTTTTAAACGTTACTTATTTTAAGAAAAAAAAAAATTCCCCCCAGGAAGCTGCTTGAACTGGACTGGAACACTGCAGTTCCCAGGGTGGCCACACGAGAGAAGTGGCGAGCAGCCTGGGGCGAACTGTGGCTCTGCCGTACTAAGGCACCTGCTGTGGACCCAGATGGCCTGGCGGGGATTTCTGGGACTTCCCGGCCCCTGAACAGGTGGGCACTGGCCGGGGTGCCGGGGGAGGAGCCTCGGAGATGCGCTCGGTCTCAATCCTCACAATCGTCTCTCCAGCTTGACCCTTTCTTGTCTTGGGGGGGTGGGGGGGGGGTGGGGAGGAGGGACTGGTAGGCTTAAGGGGGGCAAGAGCAGAGGTCAGTTGGGATGTATCCTCCGCGTTTGTTATTTGTCTTTAATCTTGAGTATGATCACTTCTCTCTAGAAGTTTTTATAGTAAAATTTATTGGTGTTTTTCCTTTGGCTTCTAGCTTTCATTATGCTTAGAAAGTATTTTATTTCCAAGATTATTAAAACATTGAGTATGTTTTCTTCTGGTACATTATGGTGTTATTTAATTATGCACTCCACCTGAAATTTATTTCTGTTGTAGGAAAAATTTACTGCTTTCTTTTATTTCCGCAAATGACTTGCCAGTTATTTCACCCATTTGTTGAAAGACCTATATTTCCCCACATTTACCCGAAGTGCCACCTTTATCATACGTGAAACTCCCTTGTATGGTTGGCCATTTCTGTACTCCATTCTGTCCCACTGATTCCTCTAGGTTTGCTTCAACATCATACTTCTTTAAATGTACTGAGTTTATCGTATATTTTAATATCAGGTAAGGTAAACCCTTGTCAATTACTTTTTTCCCTAGCTTTTTAAAAAATTATTATTCCTGTGTGTTATTCTTCTGTATGCACTTAAGAATCAACCTCTACCATTATCCCCCCAATATAGAGTTTTGGAGCCCCTGAGATTATATGGAAAGTGTACATCTGCACATTTCTCCAGAGGGAAAGCCCAAGCATTCATCAGATGTACAAAGGAGTCGTTATTCCAAAGGGAGCACTGAATTACCTGTCTCTGTGATGGGATGCCAGGGAGGAGCACAGAGGATTCCTGGTCCCGCCCCTCTCTCCTACATCTTCACAGACTCTGCTCTCCACATCTCACCTACACCATTGTCCCAGCCACTTCCCTGGTCCCCATTGTGTCCCCAATCATCTAATCCCCCTTTCTGCTCCAGAACAATCATTCTACAACACAGGCCTTAGTTCTAAGCCTGATGTAGATTAGATGATAACAAAAGTTTCATTAATAAGTGAATAGAAATGCCCTAGCCAGTTTGGCTCAGTGGATAGAGCGTCAGCCTGCGGATTTAAAAGTCCAAGGTTCAAATCCGGTCAAGGGCATAAGCCTGGGATGTGCTCAATCCCCAGTAGGAGGCATGCAGGAGGCAGCCAATCAATGATTCTCTCTCATCATTGATGTCTTTATCTCTTGATTCCTCTCCCTCTCTGAAGTAAAAACATATATATATTTTAAAAATAAGTGAATAGAATTGTGAGTCCCAGCACCACCGCTGGCCAATGGTAGGACCCAGTTTGGGCTCTCCACATTGTTGGGTCTCAGTTTATCCTTCTCTCGGACCAAAGGAGAAGGGATGAGAGAGTGAGAGGTATGTAGAAAATACAGCTAGCTATCTCCGGATGGTCATTTAATCCCAATCATTTTCCTTTCCCTGCACTTTCCTTTTCCACTCTCCATTCTCATTTCAATCCATGCCCTCAGCAAAATGCTTGTTTTGCCTGCCTCCAGCAAACAATTAGGAAGACATTTACTAACAATATTATCCCCTCGGTAAATGAGCGGAATTAAGGACATGAGCTCCGAAGTGGACACGGCAAGATGGAGGCAGGCATGCCTCTAGGAGACACTTTATACAGCATGCTCCTCACGTCCCTGGCTGCCAAGGAGCCCAGGGCTCAGGAGCCCACTGGGAAGTTCAGTTAGATGATACCAGGTTCGGGAGCAGGGCTTCTCAACCTGGGCACGGTTGACGTTCTGGCTTGATAGTTCTCTGGCACGGGGCTGTCATGTGTGTTGGAGGATGCCTCGTCTCATCCCACTGGCTGGTAGCAGCCCCCAGTTTTGAAAACCAACGATGTCTCTCCAGATACTGCCAACTGTTCCTGGCAATGGAGGTTGGGGGCAACATCCCCTCAAGTGGAAAAACACCGCTCTAGGAGCAGAGAGGGCGGGGGAGGGAGGTGAACGTGGGCCTCAGAGAAGGAAACTCTACAACTTACCCTCTGTCTGAAAGGGACACCATAAAGTCTCTGTCCCCCACAGCAGGCACTTGGGCAAGTCTTCTCCTCTCTGGGCTTCCGTCTTCCCATCTGTAAATTGGATTTGATGCTTGGGAGCCATTTCCTCCTCTTCTCCTCACCTGACGTTCCTGAGTCTGGTTCAGGGTGGGACAGGGGTACTGGGTGCCATTGAGGTGATCCAATGCAAAGGAAGGCTGAGAAAGAACTGAACGAGGCTGTGGTGGAGAGGAGGGGAAGGTATGAGGTGGGAGTATGAGGCATCTTCTATACCCGCCCCCTTAGAGGCCTGACTAGCTTCCTTGGCCTTCAACCTGGCAAACCCAGACTCCCCCGGATTCCACGAGGCCCCGCCCCACACTACATCCAGCCCGGCGGACCCCGCCCTCCCCGTGGCCCCACCCGCCGCAGGCCCCGCCCCCAGCAGACCCCGCCTCCCTCTTCGCCTCCCGCCAGCCCGGGCTCGGGCTTTGCACCCGGCGGCGGCGGCGGCGGCTGAGGATCCTGGTGGTTGCGGAGCCGGCAGCGCAGGCAGGCGGAGCAGAGCTGCCGGCCCGGCGGCGGGCGATGCCCCCCTGAGCTCCCCTCGCCGCCCCTCCCCTCCCCGCTCCCCTACCCGCGCCCAGTCCTCCGCCCGCCCGCCCGGGACCGGGCCGCGCCTACCGCCGGGTCCGCGGGGCGGGGTCCCAGGGCAGCACCTGCCCCGCCTTCAGCGCCTTCGGGGCCACCGGAGACCCCTCCCTGTGTGGACCCCGGCCCCACCCCAGGTGAGTCGTAGGCCTCGTTCGCCTGGAAGTGGACGTGGGGAGAGGGCTGCGGAGGTCTGAGGGACCACCACCCGGGGAGGAGGGGGGGCGCTCCGGCCGGCCGGGAGGCGCCACGTAGGGATGAGAGCTTGCAGGGTCTGGGGGGCGGAAGCCGGGGAAGAGGTGGGATAAGCACAGTGTGCGTGATGGCTCTGGGGAGGGGGCTAAGGGCTAAGAGGGGAACACAGGGCATTTGGGGAAGCCTGGAAATGGAGTAGGGGGCTCCAGAGTCTTGAGTTTTTTTGCTGAAGCTCAGAGCATCTGGGGCCCTGGTCTTCAGCAGCATTGCCTCGCATGGCATTTTTGGAAAGTGTTTAAAATTCCTCCTGGAAAGGGAGCTGGAAGGCAGCCTGCCTTGCTCCCTCCTGCCTGTGCCCTGGTTGAGAAGCGGCCACTGTTTCCTCCCAACGAGACACCATTGTGGTGCCTAGAGGGAACCCCCCCCCCCTCCCCACTCTATGAAAGAAACAGGGTGGTGCTCACCCCAGCCCTGGGTGGAAGAGAGGGCTTCTGGGAAGCTGGGAAAGGCAGTTGGTCAATCCACAGTGGGAAGTCCAGGGTTCGGGGAAGCTTGGCAGAACCCTTGGTGAGCAACCTGGGCACCCTCTCCCTCAGGGGAAGGCTTCTTCACTGGCCGGCCTCTAGGCTACCTGGACCCATGCCCACCTCACTTTCTCTGGACAATCCAACCCTGAGGCGGGGGGTGCTTCCCAGGATCCTGGGCCTGGAAACCCAGGAAGGACCCACAGCTCCCGTGGTCCTGGATAGGGTGAGCAAGCCATACCCAGGGCCAGAGAACAAGGGGTGGTGGCTGGCACTGCCACCTGTGGGCTGTTTGGAGGTGGTCCTATGGGCTGGGGTGTTGTCTGGGTGCGGAGAGGAAGGCTGCTGCCCCTTTGGTCCAGTTTTCTTCCCATGATGACGTAAGTCTAGGGTCCTTGGGTTTAGAGCCTGAAGTGTGGGGAGAGGGCCTTTCTGGGCTAGGCCTCGTCACCAAGGGGTTAACTAGCCAGTCCCACAGTTGCTAGCAGCCACCAATTAGTCTGTAATCAGGCAGCTGCCAACTGTCCCTGGGGGTATGTGGGCAACCTAATGGGGCATTCTCTTGGGGGGGGGGTGCGGTGTGTGTGGGGGGGTTGAGGAAGGGGTCTGTGAAACCCGTGTTTAAACCAAACACCATGGCCTTCAGAGCCTCTTTAGGACCCACAGACCCCTGCCCTGCCCTCTGTGCCAGGCCACATGGGGAGGGATCTCCAGCCCTGGGGTTTGAAACTGACCGCTCTCTGCAGGATAGGAAGCCCAGAGTTGGGCAAACTTGGCTTCACACCCAGGCCGTGCCACTTTCTGGCTGTGTGCTATTCAGGAAATCACTTCCTTTCTCTGCGCCTCCTTCAGTGAAACAGACGCACCTTCTCGTTCGGCTGGGAGGAGCAAATAAAATGGTGGATTTAAGCTGCTTAGCACAGTGCCTGGAACTCAGGGAAGCTCAGTCACATAACTGCTGAACTCAGGAGTAACTCCTGTGCCAAGGACTTGACAGGACAGGCAAGCAGGAGTCAGGTGCTGAGGACCCAGCAGGGACCAAGGTCCCTGCCTCCGGGCATGTGTTCTCCTGGGAGCACTGTCTCCGCCTTATTATCTTTGCCTCCCGTCTTGCTCACAGACACTTCTGGCCTCTGGACATTAATTGGATTTTGTTCTGCAGAACCCAGGGCTGAGCTGCTCCTTTCTGGGCTCCCCTTGTCCCTAACCGGGTGCTGAGCTCTGTGGGGTCTGTCAAGGGTCAGGGTGGTGTCTGCTGCTGCATCAGCAGCTGGCCCTTTAAAGAGGGAAGAAAACAATTATTGGGCCTGAGCATTGCATCAGCTGGAGCCTGGAGGGTCCCTGAGGAGCAGGGGGCAGAGGTGGGAGGGGGGCACAGACTGGTGGTTGATTTCATTAGTGCCATGTGAGAACTCTCACCCCTGTCAGCTCCTCCGCTCCACTCCCCAGCCGCAGCCTTCTCTCCCACCCCACCCCCAGGCAACGGCCCCAGAGATACTGCCTTCCCCCTCCCCAGGAGCACCACCTCGGAGGACTCTTCCTGTGTACCCCAAGCCTATGTGGTGGGCCCAGGCGGAGGGGGGTATAGGGCAGTGTCTCTCACATGGGCTTTTTGCTGACTAGGGCTGCAGGATGTGCCTCCTGTACCTGCACTTTGCTGACAATGGGGGTGTCTTTCCCCATCAGTGTTTGGCAGACCTGGGGTGGGTATTTCTCTCACAAGGGCATTTTGTTGACCCAGGGGAGTCGTGCTTTCTACACTGGCCTCTACACAGGTGTTTTGCTGACCCAACAGAGGAGCCATGCTGCCTGGGGTGTGTGTGAACGGAGGGCCTGGGTGAGGAGCAACGGCTCTGTGGTTGGAGGTGAGCTGGCTGGGAACAGTAAGTCCCAGGGGCAGAAAGGACACCAGAAACTTAGTCCTGAGTTCAAGTGTGGCATCCTCCACCCCCAGGCTCCATTACCATTCCAGGCAAGTGGTCTCAACCACTTTAGTGAGCAACCTGGGAAATAGGAATAATTTTCACCCAGACTGCCCCACCCCCATATGGAAGATTCTTGAGGGATTAAATGTACTGACTGGATGCACAGCACCCAGCCCAGAGCTGGCAGGCAGGGGCTGCCTACTGTATGATGATTCTCTTCCCTGTGCAAGTTTGGGCTCCTCACACTTTGGGCTCAAGATGCCTGGATGGGAAAAGGACGGTTGGGGAGGAGTGGAGAGCAGGGGAGAGAGTGCAGAGCCCCTTCTCTCTCCCCACTTCTGATGCAGGGGGTTACTCTCAGATACCTGATGTACCAAACCCTGTGAGCCAGGCAGGCCCTGCCTCTGGGCGCCTGTGAGCCAGGGAACAGCCCAGAGCAGGTGATGTGTATTGAAAGGAAGGATTCAGGGATCCTAGAGCGACAGGAGTTGAGGGCACAGGAAGTGATGAGGAAAGGGAATGTGTGTGCCACAGCCTTGGTGTGGCGGGGGGAGGACCACAGTGGAGAGAGAGGAGAGTGGGCAGGCGTCCGCACAGCCAGGCCAGAACGCCCTGGCCTAGCGGGACACTAAAGATGTGGGAACGGTCCTGAGGCCAGTGGCAGTCCCTGAACAGTTTTAAGCAGAGGAGGCAGGGTCTGATTTCCAGAGAGTGCGGGCCGGGGTCTGTGGCCCTCAGGCACAGCCTTCTCCGGAGTGACCTTTTGCCTTCTCCTACCCCCTCCCCTGTGCAGCAGCCCTGGTGCCCAGGGAGCTGGTTGTTTATGTGGCTTGTCCCAGGGGGGAGGGGGCCAGTCCCGGTCCCTCCAGCTCCCTCCCTCTGGGCCTCGTTGGCGAAGTTCATCCCTCGGGGTGAGGTTCTCCTGAGCTCCCTGTGGAGCCAGAGGGCACCAGGCAGGGCTTTGGAGGCAACTATCCCACGTTCACATTCCAGCTGGAACGCATGCCCCGTGTCTCTGGACTTCAGTGGCCTGGGCTCTAAAAGGGGATTGATGTTATCTCTCTATGGGAAGGATACAGTGAAATTCCAGATGAAAATCACAAAACCATTTCGGTTGTCAGCTGGCATTTTTACTCTTTTGCATGAAGGTTGATGCCTACTTGGGCCGGGCCCGGGCCCCGGGCTGGTTTCATGAGTCTGTGGTGGCACAGGAAGGATCCCACACTTGCCTTAATATTCTGCTGTCTTAATCATTTTTAATAATTTTGAACGAGGAGCCCTGCATTTTGATTTCGCACCGGGCCCTGTGTTACACAGCCCCACACGTTGGATAGAAAGAGGCAGGGAGGGACACAGGCCCTGCAAACAGTTCCCAAGTGGAGGAGGTATAGAGTGGAGGACATGACTAACTGTCCCAAAGTGGGTGTGATGTTAATAATAGTAACGTTTATTTAGTGTTTACTGTGTGCTAGGTTCTCTGCTGAGCACTTTACATGCTCATCTTCAAGCAGCCCTATGAGGTAGGCATTACCGTTTTTTTCTGTTGAGTCGATGAGGACAGTGAGATTACATTTCCCGGCCAGTCACACAGCCTTCCAGAGGCAGAGCTGGGATTCAAACCCAGGTTGTTGGACGGCAGAGCACATGCCTAGATCAGGGAAGTCTTCAACTAGGAAGAGGAGCCCTCTGAACTAGGTCTGAAAGACAACCTGGACTTTGCCAAGGAGGAAGATGAGGTGGGAAAGGGAGGGCTGTCTCAGCCGGGAAGTGCCTGTGCCAAAATGTTATGCTTGGCCAGGAAAGGTGGGACCCAAGCCAGATGCCTCCCAGGCCTGAGCAAAGTACCCTTTGGATTTTGTGGTTCTGATTTTCTAAGCCCAGAGCTCCTGGTCACTCTGCCCCCAGGCCCTGCTGCTACCATGACTTCTCAGAACTACCCAGGCCCCTTTTCTTACTCTATTGCACACTCTACCCCACCACCAGGGGATCTTCATCTTCATCTGCTCTCTTGACTATATCTCTTCTGGGCTCCAGACCTGCAGTTATAACTGCTTCCTGGGCCCCATTTAGATGTGACACACTCAACCTCAGGAGCCAACCTAGGTCCACAGCTCCATCTGCAGGCAACTGCTCTGTCTCCCATGTCCCCAGCTCTTCTCTGCCACCACCTCCCACCCACTTGCTCCAGCTGGAAAGCTGGAAGTTCTCCTGGACACCTCACCCCCACATCCCACAGCCAATCCTCAGCAAGTCCCATTGGTTCTGAATATCTTATGAATCTGTCATCCCTCTGCCTGCCCACCCTCCTCCTTCCAGACCACCTTTAACCCTCACCTGGACCACTGTGACAGCCTCCTAAGCTGCTCCCCTGAGGATTCTGTTCTTGCCTCACTTCGTTTCACCTTTCACACTGTGATCTCCTAGACAGAAATGTTTCTACCATTTCCCTGCCTAAGACCCTTCCAAGACTTCTTGGAATAAAAGCCAGTCTCTGACGTCATGTACAAGGCGTTGCGTGATCTGGTCCTTGCCTGTCTTTTTGTATCCTCTTGCACCGTTATCCCTCTCCCTCCGCTGCAGGACTTCACACATGTTCCCTCATCCTGAAATGCACCCCTCCTCCTCCTGGTGCCCTGCTTACTCCTACTTATCCTGTAGATGCCAGCTCAAACATCATCTCTGCAGCAAAGCCTGAAAACCGGAAACTGAACACCATCCCTCTCCGTAGGACCTCCTCCTTCTTCTTCACGACACTCATCACACTTGAATTGCTTTTTTCCTTGTCTTTCTTTCTTGCTAGACTGTGAACTCCATGGGGTCAGGAGTCCTGATTTGCCTCGCCCCAGCACATAGTAGGTGTGCAGTGAGCTGTTCCGTGAACGAAGGAACGGATGAATCATTGCTTAGCAAACTCACTGACCTCCCAGCATCCCGCTGGGCCTGCCTTCCGCAGTCCTTTCTCATGACAGCCACAGAGCCATCTTTCTGAAGCACAGACCTGACCCTGTCACCCCCTGCTACTTAAAATACTTCCGGTGGCGTCCCATCCTGGTAGCTTCTTGGCACGGTGTTCAAAGCCCTTTGTGATCTGCGAGACTCCAGCCTCATCTCCCCTGCTCCCCCACCACACTTTGAACTCCTGGCAGTTCCTCTAACACAGCAGGCTGTTCTATGCCTCTGTGCCTCAGTACTTGCTGTTCCTCTGCCCGTAATGCCTCCCCACCCCTGTGTTGTCTCCCTGGAGAAAGTCCTTTATTCTTCAAAACCAGCTCAGCTGCCACCTTTGCAGTGAAGCCTCTGAAGAGCCCTCCCGGCCCTCCCTGGGCAGACTTAGCCCACTCCCTCCCTGGCCTCATCGGTGCTGTGTCTACATCTCTTCCTCCTGTCTCCTATTAAACTGCGCTCCCCCCATGCAGGCACCATGATTATTTTTCTTCAGGAGTGATCATCTTTGATTCTCTAGCTCCCAGCATTTTCCCTGCCTTAATTAGGTCTTTGCTTGTATACAGAAACTCACTCAAGCCAGCCTCAGTCAGACAGAAGGGTTTATTATGAGGATACAAGGGATTTTTGGGAACTGAGGGCCAGAAAAAGCATTAGCTTTTGGGAAGGGTGACCTGTAGGCCAGAAAAATGGAAGCAACCTTATTGGCTGCTTTTACCTTTCTGTCTCCACAGACTAGGGTTTCGCTGCTTTTCCAAACACCCATAGTTCCTGTATTGTGCCCCTTGGTTCCAGCCACATTCAGGATTTGACAGATACAAGCCCAAACTTCCAGAAGACCAGATTGGCTCTGAGTGGGTCAGGCGCCCACCCTGGTCCAATCAGTGGCAGCCTGCTGGGAAGGATCACACAGTCAGACATGCAAACATGTCTCTTAACTTCCTCAGAGATAGCGGGGGTCTTTGCTGTCCTGGAAAGTATTTCTGCTAGGATCCTTAGAGTGCCAGGGTGGGCCTGGGTCCCAGCCTTCCATCTGAGCAGCACCTGGAGGAAACAGACTGGGCATTGTGACTGAAAGGGAGTCTTCCTGGGGCGGCAGTGCCCAGGCAGGCTCTGAAGAACGTGTCAAAGGCCTGAACAGAGACAGAGGAGTTTAGATCTTGAAATTTGGAGAGGTGACAGAGGAAGGAGGAGGAGGACATGAGCAGTCGGACTATTCTCCTACCAAAGTCACATTTATCCTCTAAACTTAGACCCTTTTCTTTCCTCTGTGATAAACCATGCCACACCTGCTCCCCTTCCCCAATCAGTTATTATTATTATTTTTTTTTATTTATTTTAATATATTTTATTGATTTTTTACAGAGAGGAAGGGAGAGAGATAGAGAGCTAGAAACGTCGATGAGAGAGAAACATTGACCAGCTGCCTCTTGCACACCTCCTACTGGGGATGTGTCCGCAACCAATGTACAAGCCCTTGACCGGAATCGAACCTGGGACCTTTCAGTCCACAGACCGACGCTCTACCACTGAGCCAAACCGGCTTCGGCCCCAATCAGTTATTCTTTGCCTGTATTCACTTTATTTTTTGTACTTCTCCAATGATACATACTTTTGAGCCCTTTGTGCCAGACTTTATGCACATGCATTATTTCATTTAATCTACATGCCCTATAATGGGTATTATTTTGCAGACAATGGAACTGATGTTCAGAGAGGTGACATTTGCAGGCTAGGGGCACACAGCAGTGTAATGCCAAAGTAAAAACTCTTAATATCTCTTAACTTCAGCTGCTTATTCACTTCCCTGTTTGCCTTTTGGGGTTGCAAGAACCTCAGATACCAGCAGACACCGGAATCCATCCTCCCTCTATGCCCAGCATCGGTCAGTTCAGAGCAAGGGCTCCTGAGTGTGGGACAGATGGGTGCACGTAGAGCAGAAAAGGCATCTGGGTAGAAGTTGAGGGTCTCCTACTCGTAGACCTACCCCGTCTGTATGACTCCGGATAAGTCTCTTAACCTTTTGGAGCCTCAACTTTCTCATTAAAAAATGGGCATGATAATTCCTGCTGCACGTCTAGTATTGGGAGTTGAGTGTAAGGACAGTTTGTAAATAGGACGGAACTGAGCAATTTCTAAGGATTGTCATTACCAGAATGGACCGTGGCAATGGAGTGCCAGCTGGCCGCAGTGCCCAAACTTCTGCAGGAGGCAGACAAGGCTAGAGCTTCCCAATGTGGGAAGTGGGACCTGATATGACTTTCCGTGGCTCGTGGACCTGCCATTCCATAGCATTGGCTCACGTAGCGAGAAAGTTGGTTCCCTTTCAACTTTATCAAGTCCAAGGTTGTCACCAGGAAGAAGTGTCATGTAGTGCTAGTGTGTCTTTACCCACTTTCCAATGCTTGCTGCCCTCCGCTTGGTAACAAAGAGATGTTGACTGGCAGCTCAATTAGCTAAAGATATAATAATATCGCTTTGTTGATACTGTATTTATTTTACTGCCATTTTCTACTTATTAAAGTGATATTGGCTCTCTATTTACAGTGAGTTTCTAATTAAAGTAAATGCTACTTAGTTAAAAGTGTAAATTTGAAGAAGATAATGAACACCTCAGGAGTATGTAGACTCGATAGATATCGCAGAGGGGGCACATTGTGCTATGTAGCTAATGCGAAATTGGGATGTGGTACAGGGATGGGCAGAGTTGAGGACCATTGGCCTAGATAATCTGGAAGGTGCCTGCCACCGTCGCCCTTACCCCCTGCTGTGCCAGCCTGCATCCCTCTCCTTGCCCTGTGCTCTGGCTTGGCTTTCTTTCAGAGAATCCTGCCATGATTGTGCCTGCAGACAGGAGAACTTGTGCCACTGCTCCCTCAGCCTGCTTGGGACTCTTGGAGTTGAGGTGTCTGGATGGGGGCAGGATGCCCCCTGGTCTGAATCGGGCCTTGGGCACTCCTGGGGGAACAGGAGTTGCAGGCTTAACAGTCTCCCGGTCTCCATGCACAACACAGGTCCCAGGACCTCCCAAAGGCTGGAGTCCCAGGGAGCACTCAGCTGTCCCCAGAGCTACATGCCCCAGAACTTGGTGTCTGGGGACAGAGAAGTCAGGAGGATTTGGGATCTCAGAGGTCTCCGTTCACCTGCCCCACCTCCGTGCTGCTGACTGCCTGCTCCTGAGGATTGGGCATTGACCCCAGGAGGCCCCAGGGTTTATCCACGGGGCCCAACAGCTGCCTGTCCCCGCCCCAGTCCCGTGTTCGCAGTGGGAGGGCAGGCCTGGGCTCTGGGAGGGGGGCCTGGTACTGCAGGGTATGTGCTTACGAGTATATATTCAAGGTGAATGTCTGGGGTCTCTGTGAAGGCATATTGTATGTGCATGTGTATGTGAGTGAGAGTTTAAGTTTGTATGAATATGTGTATGTGATGTGTGTGTCTGTGGTGAATGTAGCTCTGGATGACATGTCTGGGGGTGTCCATGACAGACACTGTATATGTGTGCATGGCTGCGTGTGTGGGGCTGTGTGATGTGTGTATCTGTGGTAAAGGCATCTTTGGGTCCTAGGTCTGAGGTTCTCTGTGTGTGGGTTTTTGTGCAGTGTGTGTGTCAGGGTGTCTCATGTGTCTGCGTGTGATGTGCACATGGGTCTGTGGCAAATGCATCTTCATGTAGTGTATCTGTGAGGCATATTGGTGTGTGTGTGTGTGTGTGTGTGTGTGTGTGTGGTGTGTGCCTGTGGTGTGGTGTATGTTGTTGTCTTCGCACTGTGTGTGTCTGGCTGTGTGGTGTATCCGAGTGGCTGCTTGGAGGTGTGTACTGTGCACGTGGGTCTTTGTGACCTGGAAAGGGACGTGGTGGGAGGGAGCAGGAGGTGCTGGGAAAAGGGGAGTAGCTGAGGGCGAGGTCTGCCTGGTGGGGTCTGCGGTTGTGCTCAATTCCCAAGGAGGGTCCCCAGAGCTGATGGCAGGCGCAGGCGGCGCCTTCCAGCTTGGCGCGAAGCTAGTAATCCGAGCCCCTATCCCCATGAAATATTGATCAGGCCTAGCGGCGCCCCAGCAATTAAAAAAAAAAAAAAAAAAAAAAAAAAAAAAAAGGCGGCGAGCGTGGAGCGAGCCACGGCTGGCTGCTGTCCTTGGTGCTGCTGTGTCTCCCGAAGGGGATTTCAGAGCTCAGACTGGGGCGGGGCTGGGAGGCAGAGAAACTTCCCCATCCACCGGCGCCCTCGGGAGGGGGTGGAGGTTGGGGGGTCTGTTGGAGGGAGCCGGCCTCAGAGGACGAACTAGCCTGTCTGTTAGCCCCACCAGCTCATCTAGGAGGAGCAGGGACCGAACGGGTATTGTGTTGAGATCCAGGATTCCCCAGGGCGAGGATGGCCCCCCAGCTGGATTTGCTAGGGATAGTCCTGATTTACACCTGCGGTCCTTGTGGGATTGTTAGTAGTGTCTCTGCTCACTCTCCTGGTGGAGTGATAAAGAAACGATGTACTCCCCAGAAATAAGGCTTTGTTCCAAAGGTCTCTTCCCCCACCTTCTCTGCCCTCCCCCTGGGGGAAGGGGTTCTGTAGCCGCCTGGGTGTGACTCTGTCCTGTGTGTGCGTTTGGCTGGGGGGATTGTCCTCCTGAGTTTGGGCTGAGCCAGAATAAGTGCTGGGGGCCCCCAGGATCCTTGGGACCTCCCCAGGGGATCTAGCCCCTTCTGTACCCATCCAAAGTCTTCTTTCCATTACAGGCTGCGCTCATTTTCAGGCCTGGATTTTCCCTGCTCGTAGGAGAGCATAAGGATGCTCCCCGGCCTCCCTCCTGGCTGGGCTGGGCAGGCCTTGGTCCCAGTGTCAGGGTGCGGTTCAGAGACTGGGGTCTCCAGATTGGCCATCGGTGTACTCATGCATCTTCTCTGAGTTCTCCCACTGATCCTCTACCCTTCAATGGATTTCACTTTTCTCCAAGCCCTGGGCATTATCTCTGGCCCTTTCCTCACTCTACACTCTTCTCTGGGCATTCTCCTTCCTTCCCATATCCCAGTTTTCCCTCTGGGGAACATACCCAAAGCCTGCCCACGCACATGGCCCTTCTGAGCTCCAGTGCATCTGCCTGCCTGCCCAACGCCTCCGTGTGGGAGTTGCAGTATCATCTCAGACTTATCATATGTAAAATGAGGACTCATTTTCCCCAGAAACCAACTATTTCCTCTGCTGATGGCACCTCTGAGTCCCCACCTTTCCTGTACGTCATTTTGGATTCTGGTTGTTTCCCTCTCCCCAGCCTTGCCCCATCATTAACTCTAGGCAGCCCCCAAGGCTCCCCCCCCCCACCCCATGACACCTGGTCACCTTTTCCTCGGCACCTGCACCAGGTGAAGCCGGGCAGCCCTTCTTCCCGGCGGCCTCCTGACTGCTCTTCCTGCTGTCAGGCTTTCTTCTGACTCTGCGCTCGGTGTCAGATTGATTTCTGTAAGACACCGCATCTAAGTCATGTCAGATTTCACTCCCTCCAGGATTAAAGCCAGGCCTCTCAGCCCTCATGCAGAGGCCTTCATTGGCTGATCCCAGCCTACCTTTCCAGCCCTCTCTTCACAGTGGTACCTCCCTCCCACGCCAACTGCACCAATCTCGGAGCCTAAAGTTTTCTCTCTGGGCCTTCCCAGGTAGTTCCCACCTCTTTCTTGCCACCTCTACCTCTCCAGATCCCCCCTATCTTTTGAGGTGCTCTGCAGTGCTTTGCCCCATGATGCCTTCTCTGGTCTCCCCACCCAGAAGAGTTCACTCCTGCAGAACAACCAGAGGATGTTATCTTTATCTCTCAGGGCCCCGAGAGTTTGTAAGAAATGCAGAGTTCCCTGTTCCACCTGGGACCCATGGAATCAGAATCTGCATTTCAACAACTCGCCCAGGTGACCGGTGTGCACATTTAAATCTGAGAGGCACTGGGCCGTGCATTCACTGAGGGAAGGAGCTTGCTTTTGTTTGAGAGTGTCTTTGGCTAGGGCTGGTGGTGCTATCAGGTGACAAGTCTAGCAGCCCTGTCAGGTGGCAGGTGCCACAACTGGCCTGATCCCACCAGCTCCGAGAGGCAGTGGGTAACAGAGACGGTGAGAAGCATGCAGTCTGCCTGGATCCTGCCCGCCTGGAACCTGTGTTTCACAAGTCCCCAGAGCTCGAACTCTGTAAATCTGACTCCGGAAAGCACTCTGGTGACATAAGGAAGAATCAATTAATCAATAAAAAGGCAGTTATCAAGCATAGAGCAGAACTTTTCCCTCTTAACAAAATGCACAGTGGTATAAATGTCTGTTATTTTAATGTGCATTTTGCAAATAAAAATGTGTACTTAGTTTTTTTCTTGATGAAAACATTAGTACCATTTCTAAAGAGGTAACTTTCAAAAGCATAGTATGTCACATGAAAGAAATAAAAATGAGTCGCAATTCTACTACCCAGTTATAATTACAGTTAATTTCATATTTATTTTAGGTCACCATTCATTCATTCCTCAAATATTTACAGAGGCCTACTGTATGCCAAATCTGTGCCGGGCACTGGGGGTTTAGGATGGAGAAGATGAGTGGTTCCTATTTCTAAGCAGCACACAGCCAGGGGATGGGAAGCAGGCACTGAACAAGTTAGGACTGACAGTGTGTTAGTTTCCTAGGGCAGTTGTAACCAAGTACAATGGACTAGACGGCTTAAACAACCTACATTTATTTTCTCACAATCCTGGAGACTAGAGTTCAAAGTCAAGGTGTTAGCCAGGTTCCTCCTGAGAGCTCTGAGGGAGACTCTGTTCCATGGGTCTCTTCAGGATTTGGGTGACAACTGGTCATCTTTGGCGAGCCTTGGCTTGTTGCTGTATCACTCTAATCTCTGCCTCCATTGTCAATGCATTCTCCCTAAGTATCTCTGTCTTCACGTGGCCTCCTCCTCCTCCTTCTTCTTCTTTTTATAATACGTTTTTATTGATTTCAGAGAGAGGGAAGAAGAGGGAGATAGAGACAGAAACATCGATGTGAGAGAGAAACATCAATCGGCTGCCTCCTCCATGCCCCCCCCCCCCCCCCCCCCGCCCCAATGGGGATCAAGCCTGCAACCCGGACATGAGCTCTGACCAGGAACCAAACTGGCGGTACATGGGACAATGCTCAACCAACTGAGCCACACTGGCCGTGCCATGGCTAGCTTCTTATAAGGACATTGTTCATATTGATTACAGATCCACACTACTCCAGAATGATCTCAACCCAACTAATCAGATCTGCAGTGACCCTATTCTGAGGTCATTCTCTGAGATACCAGGGTTAGGACCTCAACCTATCTTTTGTGTGGGGACACAATGCAACCCACAGCAGGCAGGGGCAGTACAGAGTCGAGGGGAGCACAACATGGGACTCACCTCATCTGGGAAGACTCTCCCAGGAAATGACATTCAAACTGGGACTGAGCAACGCGGAGGGATCAGCCAGGCCCAGGCAGTGCAGCAGACATCGGGCCTCGGAGCAGGAGGGTGGAGGCAGGCTGGAGAAGAGCACCCCGGGCAGACTGCTGACAAAGGCATGAAAAGAAGGCCAGTGTGACTGGAATGCAGAGGAGGGGCCAGAGCACGGGGTGAGTGGGGTCACTTGGCTCGGAGGCCTTGGTGAGGGGTTTTTACTTTCTCCTGGAGGCTGTCACAGGGGAGTGATTCATTGTGCTTTGTGAGCTGTTGCTTCACAAGACTGAGCTGTCTGAGGGCTTGTTATTTTTCCATGTCCCTGTCTCTGAGGGGAGATGCATGGCCATGCCCCAGCAACCCCTGGCCTGAGGAAGGTGGAGGAAGGCAAGCCCTGCCCTCAGGAACCTCATTCCCAACAGGACACAGGGCTCACCCAGCTCTGAGTCTGCCTCACCTTTTATGTCCTGAGACCTTGGAGTCTGGGGGACACAGGTTTGGGCCTGGCCCTTCCACACCCTGCCTTGCTGTGAGAACTGTGTCTGAGAATGTGTCCAGGGCAAGTGCATGACCCATGTGGGTCCCTGAGGCCAGAAACCCCGATGCTGGGGTGGACCAGGGGTTAGGTCTCCCAGAGGCCGTCTCTTTAGCACCCTGCTCTCCTCAAGGGATGTCTGGATATTGCCTTCCCATGCAGGGTGCAGCCTATCTGATGCTCAGTCCATCCCTTACCACACCCTCAGAGGGCTGCCCCTTTACTGTGTGTGATGGGGTGGGCCAGGCTAGGTGGAGAAGAAGTGGGTCAGTTCGGTAGCCATGGTGACAGCAGCTGCTCCCTGCCAGCCTTCTCATCTCCTCACCACAAACCTCACCGATGAGCTCCTTTGTCCGGCCTGCTGGGATGGGGGCTAGGCGGGTGAGATTGGGGGCTGGCACACGCGCGCGTGTGCGTGCACGCGTTTGTGTGTGTGCGTGTGTGTGTGTGTGTGTGTGTGTGTGTGTGTGTGTGTATTTTCAAGCTCACACAAGCACCAGCTCAGAGCTGGTGTGTGTGCTTTGACCAAGGGACCCCACAGATCCAGGTAAGACACTTCCTGGGAACTTGCCCACCAAAGGGATAGGGCTCTTCCCGCCTCTTTGGGCTGTAGAGGGCCAAGGGGAGGGTGTGTGTGTGAGTAGATGTGGTGGTGTGAAGGCCTGTGGCTATCAGTGTGGCTGCTTCTGTGTGTCTCTGTGTGTGTGTTAAATATATTTGTATTGACTTAAGAGAGGAAGGGAGAGGGAGAGCTAGATAGAAGCATCCATGTTGAGAGAGAATCATTGATCGACTGCCTCCTGTATGCTCCATACTGGGGATCGAGCCCACAGCCCAGCATGTGCCCCAACCAGGAATCGAGCCGTGATCTTCTGATTCACAGGTCAACACTCAGCCTCTGAGCCATGCTGGCTGGGCTGCGTGCCTTTGTGTGGCTGAGCATCTTAACGGTACGTGTGCATATCGGTGTATGCACGTGATTGTGTCTTTACGTGTGTATCACCTGTGCCCTGTGTCCCTCCCTGTGTGTGTAGAGTGTGTGAGAGCCTGCGTTGGGGGAGATAACGGTGACACAATCAAGAGAAGAGCTGGCCCAGTGTTCCCCACTCAGGCTGACTGTGCTGCTACAGCCCAGCCTTCCTCTCCCACTCCGTACCAGCCCTCTCACCCACCAGTATGTCCCTTGTGGGGAAAGGAAATTCTAGAAACGAGGGAACTCCTCTTCCCTTCTGTGGATGCAGGCACTGGCCTCTGGCATGGGCAGAGTGGCATGGGTAATGGGGTGGGCAGCCCTGGCACTGGATTGTGGTTGGAATAGGAATCTCAAATGCCAGGTCCAGCACCCAGCGAGGGCCCAGGCAGGAAGATGCTGGCAAAAGAGAGCACAGCTTCACATGGCAGCTCTCCTCCAACTGAGAGGCACAGGGACCCAGCGCTTCCACCCTCGGGAAGCACCCAGGGCTGGAGTGGGAGGCGACCCTGTTGGTCTCTGAGCCTCCTCGTGAAGTGGTTGCATCTGGTGTGTAATTCAGACCCATAAGCACTAACACCTGTGCAGTTCTTTACCGTTTGCAAAGGCACCCCAATGAGTAGTAATAATGTAACTGCCCAAGTGAGCATTTAACATGTACCAATCCTTATTTTATAATATTTCACCCAAGAATCCCAAGGGTGTCATTATTATTCCCACTTTAGAGATAAGGAAGGGTGGGCTCAGGAGGTTTGTTAAGGAAATGTCCCTGTGTCATATAGCTTATAAGCGGCAGTTCTAGGTTTATCTGCCTCCAAAGCCTGGTGTTTTTGTTGTTGTTGTTGTTGGTTTTCATTTTTTAATATATTTTTATTGATTTCTGAGAGGAAGGGACAGGGAGGGAGGGAGGGAGGGAAAGAAGGAGGGAGGGAGGGAGGGAGGGAGGGAGAGAGAGAGAGAGAGAGAGAGAGAGAGAGAGAGAGAGAGAGAGAGAGAGAGAGAGAAACATCATCAGTGAGAGAGAATCATTGATTGGCTGTCTCTTGCACACCCACTACTGGGGATCAAGCCCGCAACCCGGGCATGTGCCCTCGACCAGAATTGAACCCAGGACCCTTCAGTCCGCAGGTCGATACTGAGCCAAACCAGCTAGGGTAAAGCCTAGGTTTTTAATCACTATGCTTTCCTGCTCCTCCTAATCTCACCTGCTCCCCAGTCCAGCCTGGAGAGTCCAGCTGGGGCCAGGTGGCCAGTAGGTGCATTTTATAGAAGAGGAGATGGAGGTTCAGGGAAGCTGAGTGACTTGCTTAGGGTCACATGGCTGGGGTGGAGTCAGGAGTCCCCCCTGCTCCCCACCCCACCTACCCTCAGCATTCCTGACTGCTGGGCATGTTACAGAGTGTCTGGGGAGGGACACAGACCCCATTAGTCAGGGGGAGGACAGAGGAAGGGAGAACAGAGTTTAGAGTTGATTAGCATTTGGACCTCCAAGTGTTAAAAGTCTTAAAGTTGTGGGTGGAGCTTTAGCTCCAGCAAGTTAACATTAAAGGTTCCTAAAGGCCTTGGGGGGAGGGATGCGGTGAGGGAGGGGAGGACCTAGGCGTTTGGGCAGTTTTATGAAAGAGGAAACAGAATGAGAGCTGAAATGGTTTGCTCTAGGACGGTCATACAGCTTGGAGTCATGTCCAAAGTCTGTCTTTTTACTCCACGAGCTACTAGAAGCCCTTGAAGACAGATGTCTTCTCTAGTCTCTCCTCTAAGCTCTCCTCTTTCCTTCCAGAGTCTTATCACATCACCTCCTCCTGGGAGCTACCCTGATTGCCTTCACCTCCTTTCTTGAAAACTGGTGTCCCCGAAGAAGTTCACAGAAGCCGCCGTGAGTGCCCTAGGGGAGTGCTGCTGGGTGGGGCGCAGCCCCCTGGGATGTGGAACACCACGCTCAGAGTCATCAGTTTGGTGAGTCTGGGTTTTCTTCAAGGTGAGCGGCGAGGAGGGCATTGGCAGGTGATGTGGAACCTGGGAGTTAGGAGACTTGGCTTGGAGCTCTGATTTGTCACCAACTTTCTGGGACTGGGTGTGCCTCCCATTCTGGACCTTGATTTCCAAGCTTTGCCAAATGAGATGCTCAGGGTGGGAAAGGGATGGCAAGTCAGTTTCAACTCCTGAGCCTGTTCTCATCAGCTGGGTACTCGGACCTCCGGCCAAACATCAAGGGTCAGGAAGAAAACAAGGCTTGTCCCGTGGGGCCATGGGGCGGTACTTGCCAGTGTGGAGCTTTGGCGGCAGTCGGAGCAGCAGCCAGGGCAGCAGCTTCCTCCAGAGCAGCGGTCGCCGACTGAGCTTGGAAAGGTTGGCCACCGCTGCTCCCGAGGGTGAGTCTGAGCTGTAGTTGTAGGTGCTGCTGTAGCCACAGAGCAGGGTCCGCAAGGAGAACCAGACAGCAAAGCCCCTTGATCCAATGAGATCCGGGACAACGCCCCTTTTCGGGGTGCCCTAAACTGGGCTGGGAAAGGAGAGCTGCTCATTGGTGGGAATTTCAAAGTGATTTTTGTGGAAAGGATGTCATTCAATCAGCAATCTTCTAAACCACAGGGAGGTGAGTTCTATGTTCTGTATCCTGCTGGCCCCCTCTCCCTGCTGCCCTTTTCCTGTCCCTGTGACCTGATGGCTCAGGGATTGCTATGCAGTAGGACTTCCTTCCTCATAGGGGCCAGGTGGCTGGCTCTGTCTGTCTCTCTGTCTTGTCCCTCTTGAACTGGACTGGCTGCCATAGAAGCAACTAGAGCCCAGTCCTGAGCCTGCCACTGCATGTGTGCTCACAGACTCCGCCCTCTCAGGCACTCGTCAGCTCTCAGGCCCCTGGGCGGTTAAAGATGAGAATGTGGCTCTGGAGGGTGCAGAGTCCTGGATGTCAAGCCATCCTCTTGTTGGTGCCATTGATTATTCATGAGGAAATATGAGTCCCTAGGTTGGCAGGGTCAGGAATTTTGTCCCTTACCCTTTACCTTCTTGTCCCCTGGGAGTGGTGTACTTGAGTGTCCTGTTGTCTGGCTGCTCTGTGGCAGTTTTCTCAAAGAGCCCAGAGACTCAGGGCAAAGCTCACATCTTGGGGTGGGTTCTGGGTTGAAGGTGCAGGGGCTGCAGAGTGTATCTGACTCTTTGTGGAAACTGGAGACTTGGGTTCGAGTGCAGGCTTTGCCACTTCTTAGCCAAGTCAGGTGAGCGAGGCCTCGACATCTCTGAGAGCCAGTTTTCTCATCTGTGACATGGAGATAACCACACACCTAACAAATACTGTCAAGAGCCAGTTAGGCTTACGCTGTAGTAGCTTCAAAGTATCAGGTAAGCACTCTCTCACCACCCAACAAAAGGCCGTGCAGATGCCCCAAAACACGCCTCAACTGGCACTAGAATTGGAAAGTAAAGAGAGATCATCACAGGCCCAAGTCCAGGGGACTTTCCATCAGTTGCAATGTTGATGGGGGATGGATAGAGAAATACAACCCTGGGCTCCACACACATTGCAGGGTGAGTGAGAACAGTCCAGACAGCCTCAAAGAAGGCAAGACACGGCTTTGACTCTTCCCCACTGGCAGCCCTAACTCCCAGCCCACAGGAGCCGCACAGACCTGGAGACCAGGCAGCCATTGTCAGCTGTCTGGGAGCTGTCTTCCTCGTTAGCTGGAGGGGTCCCTTCCCTTTCCCACCCCTTTCTTTGTGCTTTTGAAAAGCTGGGTTGCCTCACGGTGACAGATCTGAGAGCAGAGGATCTAGCAAAGTGCCCCTGAGCCCTGGGGATGGAATCTGCCCTGGGATGACACTGCAGGCCAGGACAGAGCCTGGAAGGACTGGGTGCAGAACATGCTAGAATAGCCTCGTCTGCAATGCTTGGCCTGAGCATCGGACTTTCGGCCAAGTCCTAGGGCTGATACCAGAGATCCCACCTCTGTACAACATGGAGCCAACGATGCCTGCCGCCTGGTCCCCAGAGTGGCTCCCAGGGCCCTCTGTCCTCTCCCCCACACTCATCAGAACCACCCTTAACTGCTTAATTGCATTGTTAGTTATTCACTATCTATCTCCTCCTGGAGTGGAGGCTTTAGAAGAGGGCAGGACGAAGTTGGCCTGGCTCACTACTGTATCTTTGGCACTCAACATAGGCCTTGGAATTTCAAGGGCTTAGATACTTATTGAATGCAGCTAATGGGGAGTCCATTTGTATACTTTGTAAAGGAATTTAGCAATATATTCCAAGAATCAAAAAATGTTTATGCCCTTAGTATCAGGTGGGATGCTTTTGGGTATAACAAAGAACCCTGATTCAAACTGACTTAAGCAAAGGAAAATACATATCTCATGTATCAGAAAGGCCAGAGAAAGGCTGGCTCAGGGTGGTCCGAAGCCCTTTCTGTCTTTGTGCTGTGCTGCCCACAGCACACTGGCTTCATCCTAGGGGAAGCAGGAAAGAGAGATAGTGAGAGCGAGAGCCAGAGAGAGAGAGAGAGAGAGAGAGAGAGAGAGAGAGCGCTCCATTAGATTAGGCCAACCTTGTCACATGGACCAGTAAGAGTTACCAAGGTGACTGACACTCATTGACTAACTTAAACTAATCAAGGCTGGGTGGTGGGGTGGTACTGGATAAAACCAGTGTGTTAGGAAGCAGGGAGAGAGAATGGATGTTGGGGAAGCTACCAGCAGTGTCCACACCCGCTTAAACTAGTCACTCCGTTTCTGGGAATCAACCCTAAGGAAATAAGCAGAAAAAAAATCAATGTAGAAAGATGTTTATTGCTGTGTTGTTTAAAAACAGGAGGGAAGGAAAGAGGGGAATGGGGAAACAGAGAGAAAAAGAAGAAAATTGCAACTGATCTAAGAAGTAACTATATTGAAATATTTTAGTTAATTATGCTCCCTCCGTACAATGGGATATTATGGGCATCAAATCATTTAAACAGTAAGCCCTCCAGCTGGTGTGGCTCAGTGGTTGAGCATTGACCTATGAACCAGGTCAGAGTTTGAGTCCAGTCAGGGCACATGCCCGGGTTGTGGGCTTGATCCCCAGTAGGTGGTGTGCAGGAGGTAGCCGATCAATGATTTTCTCTCATCATTGATGTTTCTATCTCTCACTCCCTCTCACTTCCTCTATAAAATCAATGAAAATATGTTTTTTAAAACATTTTAAAAAAAACATTTATTAATAAAAAAGCCATGTATGCAAAGTGTTAATGACATTGGGAAATGTTAAATGATAAATGAAAGATAAAAGATAAATGAAAAATGCCAGAATTAAAATAGTGTGTGTAGCATGAATTCAGTTATTTTTGTAGATGCATAGGAAAGAGATTGGGAGGAGATAAGTTAAAGAGCTTGTGGTGGCTGCTCTCAGCAGTGCAGTTAAGGGGGCCTCTCGCTTGCTTCTTTATACCCCTATATGCCCTCCCTTTCAAGCCAGGAGGGCCTCCTCGAAGCCCGCAGAGGCTGGAGCCAGTTTTGCTCTCCCTGTTGTTATTATTGGCTGTGAATTGACCATCGCTAACACTTACTGAATGTTCACTCTGTGCCTGATACTGTTCCAGGCACTTTCCCAGGCACCGGTGTAATCCCTAGGACAGTCCTATGAGGTAAGTGCTTGTACTTCTTGTTTTGCTGAAGAGTTCACCAAAACCCCAGGATGTTGGTCTCAAGGTCACACAGCTAGTGTGTAGAGGCCAGAGTGGGCCATTTAACTCCACAGCCTCTGCCCTTACCACCAAACCCCGTTGCTTGCCAGGGTAGCCATGCGCTAATAAGAATGGTTTCATTTATTGAGCCAGACTCTGTGAACACTCTACATTTATTTGCTCACTGACTCCTCACAACCTCAGAGAGGCCCAGTGACTTGCCCGAGGTCACACAGCTAAGTGGTGGCTGCGGTAGAGGGCCCAGGGGTCTGATGGGGGACCCCCTTTGTCTCTTTATCTCCCCATAGAGTTGCCTGCGGCTCTGCGGCCCCTGGGACCATGTTTAACGGGGAGCCAAGTCCAGCCTCAGCTGCAGGCTCCAGGAATGTGGTTCGGAGCTCCAGCATCAGCAGTGAAATCTGCGCATCTCAGCAGGCCGGGCCCGGGCCCGGGACCACCACCGCTAAGAAGCGGCGTAGCAGCCTTGGCGCCAAGATGGTGGCCATTGTGGGCCTGACCCAGTGGAGCAAGAGCACGCTCCAGCTCCCCCAGCCTGGTGAGGGGGTGTGGGGCGCCAGGGCGGGGCGGGTCACCTTACACAGACACTTATGTAGCACTTATCATATACCAGGTGCTATTCTAGGCCCAGTACATGTCCTGACTCACTGAATCCTCGTATAACTCTGTGAGGCAAGTACTGAAGAACAGAGGAAGGGGGTGAGAAGCTTCAGTAAGTAAGATAGCTGGTAGGAGCATTCACACCCCAGCACTGGGCTTCTGAGTTCATGCGCCTCACCATTACCCTGTGCTGCCTCCATGTATTATACAAACTTATACATTATTCAGCATTTGTTTATTAAGCAGCCGCCAGGTTCCTGGCCCTCTGCTAAGTCTCACAACTTCACAGGCACACACAGCCCCATGATTCAGCCTCACGGGTGACCTCCAAGTTTCCTAAGTACAAAGAGCCACACAAATGTAGTTACCCGGTCACACACATACATTACAAAGTCACAGGAGAGAGATACACACAAAGTCACATGCCTTGCCTGGTTATACCTGGTTATATGAATAGTGTGCTGCTCAGTTGCTTAAGTAAGCCACTACCCTACTGCCAGGGAAGGACAAGATAATCATTCACACTGTACATGGTCACACATAAAGCCAGTCATCATGCAGTTCACACAAACACAGACGGAACCAGGTCACTGAAGCACACGCTCTCTCTCTTGCGCTCGCTCTCTCTCTCTCTCTCTCTCTCTCTCTCACACACACACACACACACACACACACACACACGCAAACACACACACACAGTGCCCATGGTCACAGAAATCTTGTCACACACAGTCACACCTGGTCCCTACATCACAGAGGAACCAGCCCTCCCCACCAAGACCTCCTCACTATGTGGCATCAGCCCAGACGCCAGCTGGTTGTGTATTAAAATCTCTTCCTGCTTATTTTTCTCAGAGTAACAACTTCCCTGAGAAACCTTCAAATAGGCAGCTGGATGGGGGCGGTGAGGGGGCGGGGTGCCGGAGCATCCGGGGAGAATGCTCATCGAGAGTCCCAGTTGGGGCTGGGGGTGGGGGACTTTTCCTGGCCTTAAAATAGCTTCTTATAAAGCCCTCCACAGGAGCACGAGGGATGGTCTTTTCCAGCACACAGGCTGGGATGTGGTTTCTGGCTCAGGGATATGCTAAGTGAGGAGGGGGCTTGCAGTTATCAATGCCCCAGGGTGGGCATGGCCCCTGTGAACGTCCACAGTGTAGGCCTGACATGAGGGAGTCAGGAAGAGGAGGCCTGGAGATCCAGGGGTTGGGCTGGGGCAGGACCAAGGGGGAGAGGTTGTTAAGGTTAGGAGGTTGAAGAGGTATTGGCCCCCAGGAATCTGTCTTGAGAAAACCAAGCCCTGCTGATCTCCAACTGAGACAGCTTCCAATCCAAAGGCTCCTTCGTGCCCAAAGCGATTCAGAGGAGCGGTCTTTCAGAGCCAGGGCAGGGCTGAGTCACTAGGAGAGAGTCCAATGATCTGGCTGGGACTGTCCACCTACCTAGGCTACCAGTCAGCAGGCAGGGATTGGAGTGGACACCAAGGAGACCTCCAGCTTCAATGGAAGATAAGTGATGGTGAGGATTCTGCATCATTTGCCCCTGTGGTAGGCAAGGCAAGGCTTAAGGTCCGGGGCCTGAGCCAGAGGCATACACACATGCCCTTCTAACTGAAGGTCTCTATGAATCATCCAGTCACCAAATGTCAGAGCAGGAAGGGCCCCTTGAGTTCATCTAGTCCAAGAAGCTCATTTCATTGATGAAGTGTTGGAGCCTGAAGAAGGGATTCAAGGTGGCCTTCAGAGCCACACCCTGTCATTTACTACTGTGTTTCCTCGAAAATAAGACATCCTCTGAAAATAAGACCCAGCGCATGGAAAGATAAGACATCCTCTGAAAATAAGACCTAGTGCAACTTTGGGAGAAAAAATTAATATAAGACACTGTCTTATTTTCGGGGAAACAGGGTAGCTGGGGACCGAGGCAAATGACTTCACCTCTCTGAGTTCGCCAACTCGTGTGTAGAATCAGGACAATATCTGTGCCTTGCAGAGTTGTCCAGGGGATTAAGTGACATAGGAGATGTAAAGTCAACAATCTTGTGCATAGTAGACACTTGATATGTTGTCGGTGTTATTATTATTTCCCATGGTCAAACAGTAGGGCCAAAAAAACAAGTGACATCTCTGGCTTTCATAGCCCCTTGCTTGTGGCATACCCCTCTCCCATCTATAATTCCATGTCCCTTTTTCCCCCCTCCCAAGCCTTGGGGTTGTCAGTGTCCTAGCTTGGGTGGGAGAGCCTGGCTCCTGAAGGATGTATGGGGCTGACTCACCTGGGGAATCAGCTCTGCAAACTCTCTTCTGGACAAAGGTACATCAGAGTACCTATAGGTGCCCCAGGTGGGGTGGCTCAGTTCCCTGCAGGGCTAGGCTGTGTGAAGCGGGGAAGAACTCCTGTCCTGGACCCCAGTCGTCTGGGCTCTGGGTTTGCCTTCCCAGGGGCCTCCTTCCTCCTCTTTATCCATACCCTGCATTGGCTCAAGCTCCACCCACTCCCTCCTCTTTGCTTCAAAGCCTGGACTGTCACACCAGCCTTCCCTCTAGTTCCCTGCCTCCTGCCTTCCCATTCCAGTCTATTCCTCACTTGCCATAGGGTAGCTTCCAAAAACTACTAAACCTGGCTTCAACTCCTCATGGGACCCTGGGAAAGACACTTTCCCTTTGGGCCTGCTACCACTGGAAAATGGAGCTAGAAAGGACTCTTTCCAAGCTTTCTTCTAGCTCTAACATTCTCTATGTTGTGGGAGCAGTGAATAGGGTAGGGCGAGAGCTTTGGGGTCTCAGGGCACAAGTGGCTTCTGGTCTAGCCTTAGACTGGTTCCACACAGGCCATCCTGGCCTGTCCCAGCTCCCGCCCACATTGAGCTTTTCTTTTCAGCACCGAGGACAGCAGCTCCTCATGGGCTCTGGGCTCGAGTCAGGTGGGGAGAAAGCTCAGCCATCATTCCAGGAGATGCAATAGAGTGCCGCTGGGAGCTGTGACTGCCTCTCCCTTGTATGTGGTGAGACAGATGGGATGGTTCCTGGAGTCTTTCAATCTCCAGTGACCACAGAATTATTGCAAGCAATTTGCCCCGGTTCTCTGGAGAGGCTTCATAAAGTTACTTCCTGGGTCAACAGAGTTCAGGGATTGGACAGGTTTGAAACAGTAGAGAAATGTTCTCTAAGCTTGCAAGACCTTTCTCCCCACCCAGAAAACATGGAACTTAGTCTCTGCTGAATCACATTTCAAATCAGTGTGGAATTGGTGGAGAAGAGTGAGAAGTATCGCATCAGTAGACTGGGAGTCAGCCTTATGGATGCTTGGACCTCAGCCTCCCCATCTGTGAAATAGCAGGGGCAGAGGGCTAGCCCTGGTGTCACTAACATTTCAAGGATTCTGCATTCCCTTACCAGACATCACAGTGGATTGGAAAGGTCTGCTCAAAGAAGGAAAATTTTCTCCCAAATGGGCCAAAGTTTCCCCAAGCTCTAAGAGAAGGGGACTGAGGTCATATGGTGACAAGTCTCTGACTTCAGCTCAGGATGGGTGTTGTGTGTAGAGAATTCGAGGCGAGGGAGGGTAGAGTGCAGCTACCACAGACCTATCTCTCTTCTAACTGCATTAGCGGGGATTGGCAGTTAGGAGCCAGGGTCAGGGTGAGTCCCTTGACACCCACTGTGTGGTGGGTCATGCACCATTTGTGGGTTTGCATCTATGTGTGTGATTGAACGGATAGTTTCAACTGCAAGTGTTATGGTGTGAAGGACACATTTATGTGACAGAGTATGTCTTGTATATGTATGATTAAACCCTGAGAGTACCTTGTGTGACTATTGTATGAACACACACATAACCTTGGATGTAAGATCACCGTCTTCATAAATGTGATTGTCAGCACTTGCGTGTGTCTGTTTATGCCGGTCAGTATGAAAGAAGTATGGATGAGCTAACATGACTGTGTGTAAGGCAGGCAGACAGACAGACAAGTTGATGGCCTCACTGATTCCTGGATAGTTAGCTATTCCAAAATCCCAGAAGTTGGGACGGTTTGAAAGGAGACATTTCTCCTTACCACCTCCCATTCCGTCTGTCTGCCAGTGATGCTAGCCCTTTTGGCCTTTCCTCTCCCAGTGGGACTTCCTGAAAGATAAGTAGGACAAAGCAAGAGGAATAAAGCACCCCTCTTCCCAGAGCAGGTCTTGAATATCCTCACCTCTGGATATGGGTGGGTTGCCATGGTAACCAGCTCCCCCTTCCCCATTGTTTTTAAGGGGGCTGCAGTGCCTTTCCACTCCCACCCCCACCCCCACCCTCACCCTACCTCTCCCCACTCCTATAACCAACTTCATTCTTAATTGGCCTGGGTCTCTAACCAGTGATAGCAAAGGGCTCCTTTGGTACAGTTCCTGTCTGAGCAGCACTTCCCTCCCCATCAAGCTCCTCAGGCAGCCCAGCTTTAGCAGGGAAGTCCATGCAAACCCTCGACCTGGCTTCTGTGATCCTGCCTGCCCCAGGAGGGGAGGGTGTCTAGAGGGACCACATTGCAATGCAAGTAGGTTGCCATGGAAACCCAGGCAGGATGGTGTGCTGCTAGGAGAGGCACAGTGCCCCATGTTTCCTGCAAGGCTGAGTCGTGGCCCAGGATGGGAGCAGAAGGCACCGAGACATAGTGGTTGGGTGGGGGGAGTTCTCACTGCACACCTTATAGGAGTCTTTTACAGACCTCTTCAAAGTCATACTCAATTCAGGCCAACCCAGCCATCCTCTCTTACTCTTGCTTCCCTAATCACCTCTTCATGTCCAGACCCTCCTGGAGAATGCATATTAGTCTGAGAGTGCCCAGGCCTCCCATCCAGGTTGTTATAGGGCCTGTGAAGGTATCAGAGAGGTGGCTGTGAGGTCAGAGTGAGATAGCTGCACGCGGGTGAGCAGATGCAGCAAAAGGCAAACTTTCCAGAAGAGAGAGGCAGGAACACAACCTTTGAGCAAAGGCTGAAATTGAATGGGTAGCTGTCAGGGGAGCCTGGCAAGGATGAGGGTGAGGACCCAAGAGCTGCGGGGAGGGGGGGGGGGAAATATACCTGGCAACTCCATATACCCCCAGCCTCTTTCTGCCTCCAGCCATCTTTCTGATCGGCTTTGTCTGTGTCACTGCCCTGAGCGAGACCAGGGTTCAGCTGCAAACCAGCTCTAGAGGTCATTTCAGCAATGCCCCTGTTGGCAGTCATAGCCCTGCCCACAACGCCCCCTCCCAAGAGGGTGACTTTGAGTAGCCTTCTCAGAGAGGCCTCATTGGTGATCTGACCTTGTTCCCTTTCTGTGCTTGGCGTGGGGGAATGGCCACAGAAGGGACCACCAAGAAGCTGCGCAGCAACATCCGGAGGAGCACGGAGACTGGCATCGCCGTGGAGATGCGGAGTCGGGTCACACGCCAGGGCAGCCGGGAGTCCACCGATGGGAGCACCAACAGCAACAGCTCCGAGGGCACGTGCGTGCAGCCCACCCCAACCTGTCCCCCCTCCCCCCGCCCGTCCTCTAGTCATAGAGCCAGAGCAGAGCGGGAACATCTCCAGTTGGTTTTCCCAACTGGAGAACATCAACCCAGATGCTGTGTTCCTGTGCCCTTACCTTCCCCATTCCTCTCCCCTGGATGACCAGTGCCGAGGCGCCAGTCTTCCCATTGCTGTTTCTTGCATCCGAATACCTCAGTGGCCTGGGAGTGGTTCCTCCCTTCTGTATATTTCATGCCTCCCGCCTCCCAGCACCTACATGCGGCCCCGCTCCAGAGGAGAGGGTTTGAAAGGAAAAAATGATTCAAATCCTATAAATCTAGAACCATTGTTATGTCTCAAATAAGTGGAGGTCTCACAAGTGGCCTTGCTTGGAGCTCAGGGAAGGAGATGGGACTGGATCAGAGTTTTCCAAACTGTGGGTGGTAGGTAACTCATAGACAGGAAGTAAAATCAGTTCAGAAGGTAAAACCAGCATTAGAAAAAGGAATAGAGATTCACTTGTATCCTATGGAGTGAGGACGAATTGCCTTGTGGACTTCTGTGTCAGTTGTTTTAAAGGTTGGGCACACATAGGTCTGGGACATTAAATGTGTTTCTTACATTTGACTCCATGTGAGCTGCAGTCAAAAATGTGAAAGTCCCTCCAATCTCTAAATTAGGAAACTACAATATACAACTAAGGTTTTCTGACTTGGCCTCATTAAGTCACAATGATTTCAGGATTACTTAAGATTCTATGCTCACGTATCTCACTGCTATGCCTACAGCCATGAATGCAAGCAGCCATCAGCCTGTATTGTGTCCTACCATATGCGGGCAATCCCTGGGCACTTCAGATCAGTGCTTCTTATCCTGGGATCTAGTGAGCACTATCAGGCCAAACGCTGTCTCCTTTAACTCTCGCTACGATACTGAGATATGCCAGAGCTACCTGTGAAACAGACCAATAAGAGTAGGCGAGCCCGAAACCCCTTCCTGGGGTGTGGAGGGCAGACACGCGGCCTCTCTGACGAGCACACACAGCCTGTCTTCCTCCCTGTCTGTCGCTGGCCCAGGGGGACTCCCGGCCACGCCGCCCAGCAGGCGATTTGTTCTGGGACAACCTTTAAACTCTCTAGCCTGAGTTGTTTCAGATCTGAGGGCTTTCTTTGGTCCATTGTAGCTCATGAGTGGACCTGGGCCAGCTCTCCCTCACCTGTCCTTCCTCTGCTGGCGCACACAGGACACCTAGAGTAAGGTGACCAGACATCCCGCTTTTGGCGGGACAGTCCCGATCTTTAACAATTTGTCCCGCATCCTGCGGCATTTAAAAAAAAGTCCCAATTCTTCGAAAAATCGGGACTTTTTAAAAATGCCACGAGATGCGGGACAAATTGTTAAACATCAGGACTGTTCTACCAATCGCTGTTAGTTTTTTTTTGTTTTTGTTTTTTTTGTTACTGCTTTCCCACCCCAGACACACAACCATGGTGCACCTACCACCACTTGTCATGAACCTGAACCCTGTAATTGTGCTAGTTTGGACTCAGTGGCTGTTTTGGGCACCACCTAATTTCTTTTTCTTTCTTTCTTTTTTTTTTTTTTTAGTATATTTTATTGATTTTTTCAGAGAGGAAGGGAGAGAGATAGAAAGCTAGACATGTCAATGAAAGAGAAACATCGACCAGCTGCCTCCTGCACCCCCCCCCCCCCGGGATGTGCCCGCAACTAAAGTACATGCCCTTGACCGGAATCGAACTTGGGACCTCTCAGTCCACAGACTTACTTTCTACCGCTGAGCCAAACCGATTTCGGCACCACCTCATTTCTTGATTTGGTTTCAAACTGTCCCCAGCTAAAGTAGTCTCCTACGCCATGGAGAGGGGGAAACTGAGGCAAGAGGGGAGTGCCCCTTGCCTTGGAGGCAGAGCGGCTGCAGCCCACCAGCCAGATGCCCTCACGTGCCCCTCTGCCTCCTTCCCAGGTTCATCTTCCCCACCACCCGGCTGGGGGCCGAAAGCCAATTCAGCGATTTCCTGGATGGGCTGGGACCAGCCCAGATTGTGGGGCGACAGACACTGGCAACTCCGCCAATGGGTGAGTCTTGGTGAGGGTAGGGCGAGTGGGGTGATGGCAGAGAGGGTGAGCTCAGCAGGGCCCTGCATCACCTGAGTCTCACTCAGGGTCCCTGCCAGCGCAGTGAGCACAGCACTCAGGACCCGCCCTCTGAGGGGAAGGCCACCGCAGCAGCGCGCCACCCCCCCCCCCCCCCCCCCCCCCGCACATCCCTCCTCACTCCACCACACTCTCCAGCCATCCCTCCTTACTCCACCACACTCTCCAGCCATCCCTCCTCACTCCACCACACTCTCCAGCCATCCCTCCTCACTCCACCACACTCTCCAGCCATCCCTCCTCACTCCACCACACTCTCCAGCCATCCCTTCTCGCTCCACTACACTCCACCGGCTCTGCTAAGTGCTGGACGGAAAAGGGCGAACAGATCAGCACGGCACTGGTTTTCACGGGGCTGGCTCCATCACCAGTTCTCTGAGGCGCCTTGGGGAAGTCTCTTCTCTCAGCCTGTTCCTTCATCTATAAAATGGGAGTAAAAACACCTGCCTTCACTATCAACAATGTATTGAGGGTTGTTCTTTTATTGAGAGTGGGGGGTAGGGAGTTCATGCTTTGCATGAAGTATTTCATTTGATCCCAGGAACTGTGTCTTATTTGACTTCTAATAGTGTCCGGCACCCAGAAGCCCGTAGTAGTTTTCCATCCCCCTTTCCTGTAGCCAGGAGTAGTTCCTGAAGTCTGTGCTGCCGTTCTGGCTCCTTCCTCTCCGTTAGCTAGTGGATGTGTTGGCTCCAAGCAGCTGCTCCCAGGACTAGTCTCCCCAGAGATGCCTCCTGGCCACCCTCTTCCCCACAGTCTGACTCAAGCAGTGTCTGACCTCAAGCACACGAGGAAGCTGAGTGCAGACAGCGCCCCGCTGTGAGCCATACAGTGAGCTGGGATTTCATTCCCGCCAGGGCTCTTCCCACTGCACTGCCCTGTCTTCCTCCCCCTGCACACACCGGAGTCTCTGTCTGCAGGAAGAGGGTGTGCCCCAAGGGTGAGCGTCAGCTCTTAGCTGGCTCTTGGGTTGGACTGGCTAATTCTCAGCACTTGCTTTCAGACTCTTGGGGGCCCGGGAGTCTGCTTCTCTCAGCAGCCCTGAGCCCAGCCAAGAGCTGGGAGGCAGTGAGAGGAGCAGCCACTTCCACTACTAGGCAAATGCACCAACACAGCCTAGAACTATGCGTGTGGGGCCCTCTGGTGTCCCAAACTGGGAATGACAGGTTTGTGTTTGCTCATCTTGGGGATGTTATAGTGAGACAGAGAGATTGGTTCCTGAGACATCTCCCTCCATTTCCCTGTGGGGAGGTCAGGAAGAGTTGGAGAAAGGGGGACAAATTCCAGAATGTCTGTGTTTGTATTTGCATCTTCCAAAGTATGCAAATACAAGCAATTGCATAATCGCTCAGAGAATCTAAAATGGGTACCGAGCCCATAGTCAGCTCTATTTTAGTTTTTCTGCATCAGGCTTCTGCTTCTGCACTGCTTGGAAGGATGTTTCAAGTGACTAATGCTAAGAGTTCTAGAAATCATATGGCTGGCACGATTCCACACACACAGCTTGCCCCAGCAGGGTGTCCCATTTTGTGGGAGCACCGTGAGGAGTTCTCAGTCCTCTGCTCCCAGGAAATCTGCCGGCCTTCCCTCCATCCTTTGGCGATGATGCATGCAGGCCCTGGTCCCCAGGGAGCACCTCCTGTCCTGGGAAGGCTTATCTCTCAGCATCTCCTCAAGCTGATAGTCTTTGAATATTTGACACGTATGTAGGGGAGTGACTGAGGGCTGCTGTGTAGAAGGTAAGAGCCACTGAGCCCACAGCCTCCCTCTGTGTTCCAGACTCAGGAAGCTCTGTCACCAAACTTGCCTATTCTGCTCAGTAAAAGAGGAGCTTCTCAGCTAGCCAGACATAGATGAGAGTTTAACAGCCACTTTTGGTCCCCAAGCATGTCCCTTGAGGGTCATACCCCCACCCCACCCCCAGGGACCTATTATCGTGTTCCTCGGCTGCTTTAATATGTCTCCCAAGGCCAGTTTCTCCCACATGCAGTTTTCTTCATCTCGTGCCCTTTCCAGGTGGCAGTGCCCCTGCGGGCTGTCATTCTGCTCGGCAGCTGGTCTGGCTCTGCCTGGACTGTCCCTCTTCTCCCTTGCAGGGGACGTGCATGTTGCCATCATGGACCGGAGTGGCCAGCTGGAGGTGGAAGTGATCGAGGCGCGGGGCCTGACGCCCAAGCCTGGCTCCAAATCTCTCCCAGGTGAGGCTGGGCAGTCGGGAGAAGGCTTTTGGGAATGGGGTCCTGCCAGAGAGGAGGATACTGTCTGGGTCTAGTGAGTCCTCAGTTCCCCATTGGCCTAAATCAGTATTCTCAACACTGGAGTCACCACTTGCCCCAAAGGCCAGGAAATAGGGGTGAGGTTAGGGGAGGGTGGAGGAACCAGTGTTTGCGTTAGACTCTTTGACTGGCCAGCTCGTCCTACTCATCCTGGTGTTCACCTGCAGGGTCACCTGGGGGTTGGGGAGGGACAGGCCATCGCAGTCTCTCCTGACCCATCCCCATCATGCTCTCTCCCATCCCTCAGCCACCTATATCAAGGTTTACCTGCTTGAGAATGGGGCCTGCTTGGCCAAGAAGAAGACAAAGGTGGCCAAGAAGACCTGTGACCCCCTGTACCAGCAGGCTCTGCTCTTTGACGAGGGGCCCCAGGGCAGGGTGCTACAGGTGAGTGTGAGAGGGCAGCGCTCAAGACTGCCTGTCACCATTTGAAATCCGTTTCATTTGTGCCAGGTACGAATGCCAGGGGCATTCATATGTGTTGCCTATTTATTTTCACGACCCAGTGAGGTGCGATTGCCCCCCCGGCTGACTCATAAGGAAGCCAAGGGGTGGAGGGCAGCTCAACCACCCAGGTCCCACCTGGCACTGGCTCACGGTGCATCGGCCTCACGCCAGGCTGTGAGCTGCTTCCCGCTGTGACCTCGCTGTGCAAAGCAGGGCGACTCCCATTTCTCAAACGAGGGGAAGAAAGAGGTAGTGGCTGGCGTGAGGTGCCAGCTGGGGCCTTGCTGAGCCGAGTCGAGCCCAGGTCAAGATGACTCTCACTCCTTGAGAGTGACAAACGCTTCACCATGGTCCTGGGAGGGAGGGATTATCATGCCTGTTTCATAGACGAAGTGCCTGAGGCGCCCACGAGGTTACCGGGGATAGAGCGTAGTAATGGTCTGCCTCTGGATTCAAGTTCTAGCTCGATCACTTACCAGCTGTGGTACGTGGTGAAGGTCAAATGAGAGAGGCCTTAGAGGGCCCCACACAGCGCCTGTCACACAGAAAGCTACTCGCTAACTCTGAACAGCGGCGGTGGCGGTGGGCTGTCGGCCATGCCTGAGGCCACGGGTGACAGAGGAGAGGCCTGAGCCAGGGGCTGTCTGAGCTGTGACTTCTCATCCACCCTGTTCCTCTGGGCTGAGGTGGTTCCACAGCAAAGGCACGTGGAGCTGCAAACAGTCAGAACCGATGAGCCCCGGGGTTCTGTGGGGGAAAGTTTGGTCTTGCTTGTCCATTTTTAAATATATATATTTGAATTGTCCTTTGAAAAAAGAATTTACCAATAAAAACACAAGTTCGAAACTGGCTGAGCTAATCTAATCTATTCCCCTCTCCCGGTTTTCTGGGTGGATGGGAACGCTGAGGTCCAGGGAGGGCAAGGGGCTTGCTGGGGCCCCGCCATGAGCTGCAGCAGAGCGGGACCTGGAGTCTCCACCTGCTCCTTCCCGGAGAGGGCTGCCCTCTGGGACCCTGGGAGCTCCAGAAGTCGGACCCAGGATCCATGCCCGGCTCTGCCACCAGTGACTGGGCATCTGTGGATTCGTTTATAACATGCAGCTACCTGGATGGCTGCAACAACGGAGACACTGTATTTAAAGTCCACAGGCGTTCAGTGTGCGGCAAGTTGTTTGAAGTCAGCCCAGGTTTCCGCTCTCTGGGTCCCACCCATGTGTGCCCTGGCGGAACCCGTAGGCTCCTGGGCAGGCCTCGAGCTGGGAGGTGGCTCAGCTCCTCTCTCTTCTCCCACCGGCAGGTGATCGTCTGGGGAGACTACGGCCGCATGGACCACAAGTGCTTCATGGGCATGGCCCAGATCATGCTGGACGAGCTGGACCTGAGTGCCGCCGTCACCGGCTGGTACAAACTCTTCCCCACCTCCTCCGTGGCAGACTCGACCCTCGGCTCCCTCACCCGGCGCCTGTCCCAGTCCTCCCTGGAGAGTGCCACCAGCCCCTCGTGCCCCTGAGGACCCCCGGAGGAGGCTGGCTGTGGTGTGGGAAGGGGCGCCTGCTGGCCCCCTCCTCCCCTGTACATAGTCTTCACGTCGTTCTGGCCCCTCGCCCTGCTGCATGCCTGTTGGCTACTGGGCTCGTCCCAGCTGGCGGTGGAGAGTGTAGTGTGTGTGTGTGTGTGTGTGTGTGTGTGTGTGTGTGTTTCTGTCTGTGTGTGACCATGTTACATCTGTTCATGTGTCTGGGTATAGTCAGTCTTGGTGACTACGTGGGCTGAACTCCATGTCCTTCTGTGTCGTGTTGAAAAGAGACCCAAATGAGTGTTGTGTGTGGACACAACACCCCCTCGGTCCGGGCATGGAATTGGGGGTGGCCATTGGTCCATCCTGCCTGCTCCTGTGCCCGGGGCAGAGCCCGAGTGTCCCTGCCTGTTCCTCTTCTTGGTGATCCCTGCTGAGTGTTCTGTCTCGTTCTTTGTCCCACCTCTGCCTCTCCCAGCACTGCTACCTTTTCTGAGGAATGTAGCATCCACTGCAGCTGGCCACACGAGGCCCCTCTGGGAGCCCTGACACCCCTCCGCCGGCAGCTTTGCCCACTGAATGCATCTGCAGCATGGAGCATGCCCGGCTAGGGCCCTGGCCAGGGCCTGGGAAGCAAAGATGCCTGGGGAGCTGAGGCCTTGGAGATTGCTTCCTCCCTCAGGCTGGAGCCACCTCCTTCCGACAAGCAAAACATTGGAGGTCTTAGTTTGCAGGGCTGCTGGCCAGACACCTTAGGGGGAAGTTCCAGTACCTCCCTTAGCACTGCTCCTCACTTTCTGTCTCCCTCCAAGCCCCGCACCTCTGACATGCCAAAGGAGCTCTCCAGGGGACCCAGCAGGTGTGGGCGGGAGGTGTGGCCATCCAGGAGGCTGCCTCAGAGGGCATGTACTCTGCCAGAGCAGACAGTCCCTGGAGGCACCCGTGTCCTCCCCAGGCTCAGAAGGTGGCCCTGACCCCACTGGGCTCATCCTGGTAGGGCCTGGCCTGTGAGGAGGTGCCGAGGGTGGGGCTGATTGCTGGGTTACGGAGGGCAGGACGGACTTGCTCTGAGAATCCTGCCTGGGGATTAGCTGCCTGAAGTTCATCTGGGGCTTTGTCCTGCTCATTTCTAGACCAGGGACCATGTGGGAGCTCAGCTCATGTGGGCTCCAGCCTCCTGGCCCCACAGACAGCCTGGCTCTGGACTCTGGTCTGCCACAGCCACCAGCTCTGTACAAGCAATACTCATGCTCGGCCTCCTGCCTCCCTGAGCTCTCCTGCTGCCCGCTGCCCACGCCTGCTGCCCGCTGGAGAGTGACCTGGCCTGCTCCTGGCGCCTACCCGCTCTGCTTTCATCCCACCCATCTGGCTGGAGCTTCGCAAAGCTGTTCACGCTCTGACTTGGTCTGTAGGCTGGGTTCTGTGGGTGGGACCAGTGCCGGGACTGAAGTCTGGCTTAGGTCAAGGGTGAAAGGTGAGAGGTTGCGCAGGAGCTGGATATAGCAGCCCTTGGATCCGTGTTTGGGAAGGAAAGAGTGTGGGGGAGGGTGTCACGGAATGAGGCAAGCTCTCTCTTCCCCAGACATCATCCCCAATGCTGCAGTGACTCCATGTGCCGGAGGCAGTGCAGGCTCAGAGCCTGAGTGCTTGGTCTCCATCTGTAACCAAAGGAGGTGGGATCTGAGGGAGGTGGAGGGAAGCTCTCTGGGGATACTGCCATCTCCACCAAGGGGCGTCCCTTTTGGGCAGGATCCGCCTTTTCTCCCAAAACACAAGGGGAGGAAACCAGGACCCCGTCAGTCCTGCCCACAGACAAAGAGGAGGTAATACGGGCAGTAAAGAAACCGACGCTATGAGCGCCTGGGCCTGAGCCTGCATTCTGTATCAGCACGAGACCACTGTGTGCGTGGAAGAGAGGGCGGGCCAGCTGGGCCCCACCCTCTCTCTCTGCAGAAATCCTCTCCCGTTGTCAGGGCTGGGTAACGCCTGCACGTCGCACGGTTCTACAGTGAAGCCAGGGGCTCTGCACTCTGGTCCGAGACTGGGAGAGTGAGGACCCGCGCTCAGGGAGGTGTCCTGTCTGTGATGTGCTCACCTCAGAGAGCTTGCCCCCAGGATGGTGTGAAAACACACGAGGGTGGTGGGCTTATGGTGAACGTGTAGACGCCTGCCGATGTAGCACCGAATGGCGATCCTCAGACCATGCAGCCACCCCCAGGGAAGGGGGACGTCATCCTCATTCCTCAAAGGGCCCAGAAAGGCGTGATTCTGAGAAGGTGGGAGCTGCCAGCAGTTAGGCTACCGCTGGGTAGCTGGAGGCCGGGTGGGTTAGCACAGGGGAAGTGCCAGCCAGACGGGGCACCTGGCGTGTGGATAGAGCTGCCTGCAACCCCAGCTGCCAAAGCCGCCAGGGTAGGCCCGCTCCTCAGTTCCATCTCTAATGGGCAGTGACCCCGCCCCGTGTTGACCTTGGGAATGATTCTTTTTAACCCTTTGTACCAAATAAGTGACTGATTCCACCTAGATCTGCCCCCAGGAGGGTGAAGTCATGTGAGGCTGATATGTGTGTGTGTTGGAGACCGGCTGGAGGTCGGGGTCTGTTTCTCAGCACCCAGGGTGCAGGGGCCTGAGAAGCAGCTCTGGAACCAGCCCGTCGCAGGGGAGGAGGGAGCTCAAGGCGGGAGCGTCTGTTCTTTCAGAGGAGATGGTGGGGGAGGAAGGAACAAGAAACACCCCCCCCCCGCCTCCCCCGAGTTCTCTCCAACCTGGGACCAGCTCACGGCTAGGGACTGTATCCTGGCCCCTAACCCTCCCTCCCCGCAGCCCAGGTGAAGCCCGGAGCTGATCTCAGACGGGGGCTCTGTCACTCCATCTCCTCTGCTCAGGCAGGCTCTGGAAGACAAAGGCCCTGCGGGCGATGCGGGCTGCCGGCAGGAACCGTGAGAATGACTCAGAGCGCTGACTTCACATTTCTGCTCTGTTGAATCCCTCCCGCTCCCTTCAAAGATGGCTTCCCTGCAGGGAAGTCTGTGATGGGCCTTGGGGATGAATGAGGCTCCACTGATGAGCCACGTCTTGGTTGGACCAGGGCGGGTGTGACCCTGCGGGAAAGAACTGTCTCCAGAATGATTGCCGTCCAGGCAGGCCCACCACCAGCTCTCCCGGGAAAGGCACACGGCCCGGGCGCTGCCAGGACTGGCCGAGGCAGAACCTAGGAGCTCCAGAGAGAGGGCGCCTGAGCCGCCCATCCCTTGTGGGATCACTGCCTGTTGCATGGCACCCACCAGGGCGAGCCTGCCCCAGCTCTTCTTTACTGCCAGCCTCGAGGAGGGCAGAAGCACCCTTTAAAGACAATAGAACCCTCCAAGAGTACTTCCTTGGAAATGAAATGTAGCACAATCTGAGACTGCGTTGCGAGGAGCCCTGACACCCAGCCAGGGTTCTTGCTCTTCACCTTGCTGCCCGGGAGACCTGTGCTCCTCCCCTGGGGCTCCAGAGCTCCTAATACCTCTGACCCCCCATCTCCCTTGGCCCAGAAAGCAGCACGGCTTCAGCGAGTCTGCTGTTCTGTTTCTCTGATTGCTCCCTGCACTGTGCAAACTCTGCAAGAAATTGCTGCCTTTGCTTGACATTGTACTGAGTTGTCCTCCACCTGGGGGGAGAGAGATGGCATGTCATTCAGGGCCAAGGGATGGTCCTGCAGTGGCTTGCAAGGCGATGGATAAGAGGAGGCCCGCTGCCCTGCTGACCCCTCCCTCTCTCATCCCCTCCTCTGCATTCTCTTCTCCAGTATCCCCACAGTAAAGAGGCTCTTTGAAATGCTGCTTCCTGTACTGAGTTATCTTTCACTGGATGATCAGGGAGGAGATGGGAATGCAGACTCATTGTCCCCGGTCTTCTCAAGTCTGCTTTCACTCAGGTCAGAAGAGATTGGGGCAAAACAAAACAATCATGGTTGAAGGGCTGGGGAGCCCTGCCCCTGATCGGGGCCACATTGACCTGGTCTGGCTGGGAAAGGGTTATTTTGAAAGAGTGCCTGAGCATCTCAGAGCAATGTCAGTGATGCCAAAGAGAGCAACTTGGCCTCCTTGGGCACCAACTCCGCGTTGGTCTGCCTGATGGTGGGACCTTGTTCTCTGACAAAAGGGCTTAATCTTTCCATGTAGCAAAGCAACTCCCCCACCATCCCCCCACCCCTAGCTTGGGCTTTTGTGGGCCCAGCACGGCTGTGCCTGTGAGGGAAACCACAGCAGAGAGAGACAGTGCATTCTCTTAGGGGCCTAGGCTGCTCACGAGAAGCATAAGTGCTTTGGCAAAACCTTCCAGCACTCCGGCTGGAGGCTTGGCCAGGAAGGACCGGGGCCATGGGCCTACCAAGGAGTTCACCCCAATAGCAGGAAGGACCTGTGGGACCGGGTTCCAGAGAGCATGGCTAGCAAATGAGGATTTACCCCCTTGGTCCATGGCCCGAACAGCTGGCTATAGAGCATCAAAGGCTGTCATAGAAAGTTTGCCAGAAACAGCAACCATGCGCAAGACTCCTCACTTTTCTGGGCCTCAGCTTTTCATCTGCAAAATCAGAGCATTTGCTAGCTGCTGCACGGTTCCCTCCAGGTGTTGAAGGTCTGATCTGGAGCCGATGAGGGCTGAGCCTGGTGCACACGGTTCCACGGACTGGTTTCTTCCAGCCCTGGGTGCCCAAGCCGGGTGCAGGTCCTCATCTGTCCACGCCCAGATGCTGCTTCAGACTAGAACTCTGGGAACCCTAACAGACTGCTCCCCCCTCTTTGTGGTCCATTCTCTCTTATTCGTGTGTGATGATGAAAAACAATTAAGAGGTGTCCTACAACGGACAATTTTCAAGGTGCTGATGTGATGTTACAACCTCAGCTGCACCCTGTGTAGGTTAGTATCCCCACCAGCAACTGGTCCTCATAGCTGCTTCTAGAAGGACGTCGGTGGGAGATTTGGACATGGGAGAATTTTAAAGGAAATGCTCTCTGATGGGAGGAGAGAGGGGACTTCCTGTCCAAGTATTTTGCTTCTTAAAACCACTCCTCTCTCCAGAATGTCTTTTACTGGGTGACATCTCCGCAGGCTGAGTGGCTGCTTCGGTAGGAAAAGTTGGCCTGATTGTTCTATCTGCTCCTTTAGAGAGTACATTCACAGAAGAAAGGAACCTTTTTTTAATTTTATTATTATTATTTTTAGAATATCCAAACGCATCCTTCAAAGAAAGAGATAGCTGATAGGGACTGACAAGCACACTGTTTAGATAAGAAGCAAATTAGCCTTTTATATCTGTGCTCTATACATTTTCTATGTGCAGCATCTTTCCAACCTGGTTGTGGCTCCTGGGTGGCAGGTGGACAGCTGGGAAGGACTTGCCAGCCGTTCATACAACGTTCTTGCCAATTCCCTTGAGAAAATTCTTCACATGGCTTCTGCATGTACAGTATTTGGGCAGCAAAAAAAATGATTAAAGTTGGTTTAAAACTGGTTTCGTGTGTTGCTTTTTGAAGATGGTTCTTAATGCTAGGAGAACACAGGGTTCCAGGTGACTAAAACAAGGAGGGGGGCGCCTTGGCTAAGAGGCAGGAGAGAGCAGACCATCTCAGGAAAAAGGCCTTGAAAGTACGGCCTGGGCTTCTCACTCCCATTGGGACCCCTGTTACCTCAGCGATGTCCTTGGGCCATAGAATTTGACTGGGGCAGGCAGCTTCCAAGCTCTGCCTCCAGGGTCCCTGTTTATAGGCCCACAAAGCCTTCAGTCCCCACAGACTTCACAAGGGATGCCCAGAGCCAAATAGAGGGGAAGGTAAGATGGAGCTAAGGGCTCTGCCTACCACCCACTGTTCGTTTCTTTCTGAAGTCTTGTGTCTAGCAGCTCTGCTCCAGCACGTGGCTGGGGCAGCCTCGCTTAGTTCAGCCACAGTTGATGTAAGCAGGAAACAGCAGTTGGCCTCCATTGCTGTGAACTATATCAACCCTTGATCCCAGGAGCACTCCTGCTTCATCACAAGTGGGGGGGAGGGGGCATCTCAAAAACAATGGGAAAAATGAACTGTTTAAAATATGTACCGGTATTAGGAAAACTGGTTCACTATCTGGCCAAAGAAATACCTACTTAAACCAAGATACAAAGAGAAATCCTAGATGGTTTAGTAGACTCAAAAAGGAAAGGTAAAATGTAAAATTAATAAAATTTAAGAAAAATATTTTTGTGAACTAAGGGTAAGAAACATTTTTTCATTTTTGAAACCATACACTAAAAATTATATAATGTGATTACATTAAAAGTAGGGATTTATACTTAATGAATAGTGTCATGGACAAAACTTAAACAGATTATAGATAGTAATTTATGATGCCAAAAATCGACACAGGATTAATAGCTACAAGATACAAGGAAGAACTGCAAATCCTATATAAGAAAAGACTAATATGCGAATTGTCCCCTCTGAGTTCCACTGATCGGGAGTTCAACCATTCACTATGATGTGCACTGACCACCAGGGGTCGGCGCAGAGCAAAGAAAGGCCCCAGTCAGCAGCTGGGGGAAGGAAGGCCCCAATTGGCCCTGATCGCCAGCCAGGCTTAGGGACCCTACCCATGCATGAATTTCATACACTGGACCTCTAGTCAACAAAAAACAAACAACTTCAATGGGAAAATGGGCAAAGGAAATGAATAAGCAAACTTCAAAAGCTAATAAGCTTATGAAAATAGCTTCAGAATCAGTATAACCAGAGAAATGCAAATTAAAACAATGACCTATCACTTTATGCCTATACTAGACTGGCACAAATTGGAAAACTGAATAATGCTGAATGAGGACAGGGATATGGAGATACAGTTTGTCATTAAATCTGATGTTACCTGGTCCAGTTGTATGCACACCCTGTGCCCTGTGGGGGAATGTAAGTTGGTGCACCCATTGTGGAAAACAGGATGGAGGTTCCTCAAAAAATAAAATTGTTGTATGATTCAGCAGTTTCGCTTCTGGGTAATTATCTGAAGAAAACAAAAACACTAATTTGAAAAGATATATGCACTCCACCCCTATGTTCATTGCAGCATTATTTCCAGAAGCCAAGATAAGTGTCCATCGGTGAATGAGTGGATAAAGAAGATGTTATATAGTATAGTATATACAGAGCAATACTACTCAGACATTTAAAAAAATGGGATCTTGCCATTTGTGATAATATAGATGGACCTTGAGCACATTAAGTGAATTAAGTCAGACAAATACCATATGATCTTACTTATATGTGAGATCTAAAAAAAAAAACCAATACAAACAAGAGACAAAAACCAAGACCATCGATACAGAGAACATATTGATGGTTGCCAGAGGGATTGAGATGGGAAGTCGGGGTTTTGGGATGGCAAAATGGGTGAAGGGTGTAAAAAATTACAGTTATAAAACTAAAAATCATAGTGTGACTCTGATTAATAATGCTATATTGTATATTTGAAAGTGGCTAAAGAGTAAATCTTAAAAACCCATATCACAAGAAAAAAAATAATTTTTGTAACTGTGTATGGCGATGGATAGTAACTAGATTTATTGTGGTGATCAGTGAGCAGTGTATATAAATATGGAATCATATTGAACACCTAAAACTAATGTAATGTTGTATGACAATTAAACCTCAATAAAAAGTACTAATCCTAAAATAAAAAGAGAAATTGGATTTCATCCAAATTAAAATTTCTTTTGAAAAAACCCCCACACATTATGACTCATAATAAGATGACAATTTAATTAAGTAATCCAAGTAAAAAGTTTGAATAGATATATCATAAAAAGAGATACATAATTGCCAATAAGCACATGAAAAGATGCTCATCCCCCAAGTTCATGAGGGAACTACATAACCATAGAATGCCTAAAATTAAAGACTGGTAATATCAAATGCTGGTGGATTTTTTATGCATTTTAATGGAAATATAAAATGCTACAACTATAATACTTGGTCAATTTCTCATAAATTTCTTATACACTTACCACATGACCCAGCAATTTCACTCCTTTATCAGGAAAAATTAAAACATATATCCACTCAAAGACAAAAATATTTATGATAGCTTTACTCATAAATTGCCTCAATTGGAAGCATTACAAATGTCTAACGTGTCAATCAGAATATAGAAACCACACAGTAATTTAACCAAGGAAACTTTAATGCTTAAAAAATAACACTAGCAGGGGCATAACTATGAAGTTGTAAAGCGGACTGGAGAATGATCAAGGAAGGAACAAAATGAAAGGGGCCCCTCTTCTTTAAGCTGGGAATCAAATCTTGGTGGAAAACATGTAATGTGATGTGAAGTGCGTTAGGAGCCCAGGCCAGGTCCTAGTCCAGGCTCCGGGTCAGCAGGAAACATCTCTCGGGGCAGCTGGTGGGCCAAGGATGGCAGGCTGGCAAATTGGCAGGTTAGTGCTCAGGGGTGTCAGTAGCCTGCTCACCATTATTTACAGAATGCAAGCCTGAAGTGTGCAGATCCACGAGGGAGTGAGGCGGGCACTGGGCCAGGCTGGGGCTTCGCGTCTTCTGGACGCACCGCGGAGCCAATGCTAATGGATGTCCCCATGCACGTGCCTCTGGCAGCAATGAGGTCGGAAGAAAAGCCTAGCAGAAGCAGACTGGACCAGCAGTTTCTTTCTTCTGTAGCAGTGTCACTCCAGCGCCATCTATTGATAAAAATCAATACTGTTCTCACTGCAAAGGAGATGTTTCGCAAGTAATGGAAGGTAGATTTGGAGTTTGAGAGACAACAAGTTAATAACTGTCATATCTATCACTAAGCCCAATGCAAGAACAGTTTGTGGTACAATAGTACAATGGGAAACCTCTCGGCACTAAATAGAATGCACTACTAATATATGCAAAAGCATAGATGGACTGCAAAATCAGAATGCTGAATGGAAAGAAAAAAAAAAAACAGACACAAAGGGTAAATAATGTTATATGAAATTACATATTATTTTCAAAAAGGGTAAATACTATTATATGAAATTCTAGAATACAGGACCAATCTATAGGGACAAAAATGTCAATCGGTATTGTTCAAGAATTGGGGGTGAGTATTTATTGCAAAAGATCACATGGGAATTTGGGAGGAGGGTGGAAATATGCCAAATCTGGATTGTGGTAGTGGTTACATGAGTGTATACATTGATTAAATGTATGCATTTATATAAATTATAGTAGTATCTACAATATTTTTAAAATATCATCTGTAAATGAGATGCCTATGATTGTGTGGGATCTGCACTACCATTGTCTTCCAAGCCCTGGTACCCTGTAAATTCCAGCCCAAAGGCCAAGTGAGAGGGCATGGGCTCGATAGGAACATTGGAAAACTTCTGTCTTCCCATGGGAGATTGATTCTCTGAGCTGGAAAGCCTCAGTGGTCATGCAGGATTGTTCTGGATTATTCCTAAGATACAGATGGGGTGGTGCACCTGGAAGTATGGTGAAGAGGAGGTTGAATTTCTGCATAGGGCTCAGTTGAGAAATGAGGGTCTGAGTGTTGGGGTCAGTGTTCTGCATTCTTTCTTTGCTTGATTCCATTATGACTCAGATTCCAGTAAAAGAGAGCCTAAGATTCTACAGCATTTTGACTTAGAAAGTACCTTCAAGCTCCTCAAAGACAGGTTTTTCCATCTTATAAATTAAGGAGCAAAGACCCAAGGTTGTCCAAGGTCATCCAACAGTTCATTAGGGGTACAGTCTGGACAGAATCCAACCCAGTGCTCATGAAAAACATCAGGCTGATCGGCAATGGATTAAAATGCAGACTTTTCTTGGAGTGAAGGGGGCCCCTCTGACCATCAGGGATCACCCAAGATAGAGGCGATGGAAGTGACCACTCTCGGCCATCCTAAAAGGAGCCTTGAAAAGCACCTCTAGCCCAGCCTAGCCATGCCAGAAGCTGCAATAAGCCCCTGTTTCCTCCCCATGGCAAAGCCCACTGCGTATACTCAGGAAAGAGACTGAACATGAAGAAGGAAACACCAATACTGACTTGCTCACCAAGCAATAACTGAGTTCAAATCCAGGCCTAGGGCATGGGACATAGGGAAGAAGGTCCTGGAGCAGGAAAGCGGTCAAGGAGAGGTTAGAGCTTCCCTCGAGGAGTGGCATTAGGCACCCCCTCAGCTTTCTCCCAGTCTCATTAGAAGTTCAGAGGACAGGGATATTATCTCCATTTTAAGAAAAAAGAAACTATGCCCAGATAGGGGTAGACATTTGCCCAAGGCCACTCAGCCTTGGAGTAATAATACTAGGACCAGAATTCCTGGCACCTAGCTCAGTGCTCTTTCCATTAAATCACTACATTGGGAAATGAGGTGGGAATATAAGGATGTAATCACAGAAGCCACAACCAACCCTTTAACCTAGAGCAGTGATCAGCAAACTGCGGCTCGAGAACCACATGCGGCTCTTTGGCCCCTTGAATGTGGCTCTTCCACAAAATACCATGGCC